CTCAACAAGACCCGGGCTATTCAGAGGGAGATCGGTATTCAAACACAACATAGTCATAAACACTGGAAACGAATTATATCCTGTGTTGCCGACCAAGAATAAAAACTGTGGGCCCAACGGACATATTTTAGAATGGATTTTATATGATGCCCACTGTAAAGTAAAGTTTCACTAGCTTTCACGCTACAGTCGGTATTGGGAGATTGAAACGCCAAGCGGTAAAGGCCAATAAGAGACAAAGTAAAAACGATGATCCGAACACCGTAGAATCGCTGGTGCATTTCTCAGCCTTTACTGAGGCTGGTACATCGGTAGATTCTGCTCCACTGTGACCCGAAGTTGCATGATGTTGAGTCGTAGTTGCTTCCGTAACGCCACTCTCCTCTGTCGAATTCAACGCAATAAAACTGGTATTCCCTTTGTCATTTACCGCCCCCAAGGGCTCAGTGGTATTGGCAGCACTTTCAGGGGGGAGGGTTGTAATCTGTATATTTCTGAAATTCTCCAATCCTCGATCGCCTAGCATTTGAATGTATTCCATAAACTCTGGGACGGTCTGGTTGCTGGGGAGGTCGTCCATATTGCAATCCTCCTCGGATATTCCGGTGATAAAGATAAACTTGGCATCGTCTTCAGGGGGGAAAGAATCCATCCAGTCCTGGTAACTCCATGCGCAGTCACCGATTAAGTTTTGCGTTACGGATGCCGGGTTTAATCGTATCCGCCCGCCTTGAATCGATGCAAGGATTCTGGCGTAGAAGACGTCCGTCACAACGAAAGGACAGTAGTAGGTATTTACTCCATTCATAGGGGTGTTTTCATACTGGTTGTCGGCATCGTAGAACAAATACACGTGTTGATACCAGGTCAACATAATGGTGCAAAGAGGAATGTAGTACAACATATTGCTTGATTCTACTTGGCTATCTGAAGTGAAAATGAGAAATAGAACGAAATTATAAAATCTTGAATGATTCTGGCCAATTATACCTTGTATACGTTTGACGTCTTTGAAAGCACGCAACATGGCGTTTACTGTTATAAAACTGTAGCCTTCGCTGCTGTGACAGATATTTTAATTTTTATAGCATGCCATCTGACAGTGCACTGAAATGTCGTGCAGTGGACGAGTCTTTACCCATCTCTTTGCAGAAATGAAACATTAAACGTCCAATTAATTGACAAGGTTTCAATATGTATTCAATAACACAAAATGATAAACAATATATTGATGGTATGCAGAATACTACACCTAGACTACACATACATGTAGATATAAAATGGTGTTTGTGCCAAGTTAAGAAAAAAATACTTGCATGTGATTCACAATATCTTGCTTGTTGTCCAGCCTGCATCTACTTCCGTCACTTTTTCATCTCCACTTTTCACACTTTAGTCAGGAAAGTCCTAAATCCTTGCTGACAATTCACACTATCTTGTCCGTTGTAAGCCGCTACATGTATATTCGCCAGTAAATTGATTTCTGTTTGAGATCTATTTGAGATTGTATATAAGAAACTAGAGGTCGGTTTGTTATAAACTACTTGTAGGTAGGACAGGGACGCCCTTTAATACTGTATTCCGAGTCATAACGCTGCGCTCGGTATAAAAACATTCTGTACAAGGGCAAATTGGCTGGGCCGCGGGGTGGGGCACTTGCCGGGTTCAAGATGGAGGTCATATTTAAAATATGAATATACTGCACCACATTCCATGGGGTATTTTAAGGAATGCATTTTTCGTGGTTAAAGTTCATTTCTGTCTTGTAGCTTTCGTGTATCTTATATTTGTCTTGATTAATATCTGAAAAAGGTTTGCTGAAAATAAAAAATACGAGGTCTAGCATGATAATTTTCATTGGCAAGCGAATGGATTCAGTAGGGACGACCAAGAGTAAAATACTGGTTAACAAAATCGTACAATGTTCTGAATGAATGAATGAATGAATGAATGGGACAAATCCACATCAGTCTTTAATAAAAAGTGACAGAAATTCGATATATTGAACTATTTCAAGGCAGCAAGTCGCATTCGCTTACTTACTTTTTGCCCTGTTTGGACATAAATAAATAAATAAGGAAAAAGAAAAGCAAAATATATATCATTGATGGCAAAATATGTATCATTGATGGGGGGATTTACAACGTCCCCATACCTACATGCCCTCTACAGAAAGAACATTCACAGATATTAAACTGCAATTTTCTGTATTGTGAGGATTTGTGATAAAATGACGTCATCCCCAAGCTGGTCTCTGGTGGATATTTTTTGTAGTCCTCTTCCTCCTCCCCTCCCCACCCCTCCGCGCTTCCCCTCGTCCTTCGTCCCCCCTTTCCCCCTCCCCGGGTTCGCCCCAGTACTGACCCATGATGCAATTATGTAATATAGAATTCTATACCTTCGGCTGCAATACGAATAACACATGATCATTCAGTGTGGATTTAGGCATGCTTCAGTTAACCTAAAGACGTGCAGTTTCCTCATAAGTTTTAGTAAATATAATCTCCTTCAGGAAGGAATCAGCAGATTTTTTAAAAATTTAATGATTGAAGTATATCTTGACTACTAGTACTGGGATTTAATTTTTTACTAGTACGTCTAGTTGCTCGCGAGTGAAGTCAATGTACATAGGGCAGCCCAGTAGATTAAGCAAGAAATATTTAAGATCGTACCCCTTTAGTTATACCCTCTACATTTTATACCGGGACCCACAGAGAGATGTTTTTTTTACTACATATACACAGATATTTCCCTGGCTTATTCTGTGCACATTTATGTACAGCAAGAAAATTTAGAGGGTTTGAGCTTAAGATAAATGACAATGATAACACGAAAAGTTGATATCTGAATAAAAGTTTCTATGTTACATTTTGATACATGATGAAGTGTTCTCATACTTAATTTAACTGCGATGTTTTGACTTTCTTTTCAGACATAATGCACTGGCAATAATTCAGTAGTCATTTCCGACCAAAGACGTGGGTTTTAGAGATATAAATGAGAGCAGTGAATTAGCTTCAGGATGGAGAAAGTCACGATCTTACTGTTCTGGCACGCAAGAGCGTGTGCACACCATTGCACATCGCGCACGACACAAAATTGTTGACCTTTTACTCTTTATCAGAGGCCAAATGTATTTATTTATTTCAAATTCTAGATAATACAAAAATGTACATATCTAGTGAATAGCCAGAAAAATATTTTTGAATATCTAGCGAATCTAGTGTCCTGGTATAATAATAATGATGTTACATGAGTACAACGAATCCATTTTTACAAACACATGATATTTGCTTCACATAATTTGGTTTATCCAGATGTTTATTCCCATTAATAAAATTATCGATAATTAAATGTTAAAATATTATAACATCATTCATATTTTTATTATGTAAACATAATTAGTTTACTTCTTGAATGGTGCAGTCTTTTTCTCGTTGTTGTTGTTTGTTTTTCTTCACCTTTATTTTTTTCTTCTTTCCCTTGTCTCCTTACTGCTCGTCCAACATGAAATCGGGTAGCTTTCACTTCAAGCAAGTTTCCACTCGGCGTATTGTACTGAGTTCTACTAATTTGGAAATGTCGTGTCAGTCGCGTTTCATGTGTTGTTACTGATAACAAGGTCAATAAAAGCAAGAAGTTATCTCTTTATAAGTGATGTCATTCTGTAAGCCATTTTAGAGCCGAACGATGTGACAGAAATTGTAGTCCGCTAGGGACTGTAGTCTGTTCACCTTTTTTTCAATCGTGCCATATACTAACCTCAATACTACGACTAACCCTAACCTGTACTAATCACAAAGGACCCCGGACAGCCATTCCTAGGACTACATGTTCCGTTCCTGTCACTCAGGCTTCCCCTCTGCTTATTAATGATATTAGCTTCCAATTTAACAAAACGATTATAATCTATAGCTAAAAAGCTTGCTTACAATGTACACGTTCAATTATCAATTAAAAACATATTGACAAGTCATTCATTTGATTTTCACTCTGTGATATACAAAAAAATATAGCATCAATTTTAATAAATAATAATTTCTTTAAAAGTTTGCTCTTTCGGGAGCAGTTTTGACTATTTGTACCAATATTCTTTTACCCATTTAGTATCGGATTTCGAACTCTTTCATTTTACCGTTACTGAAATATCATGAATCACGGTTAGCTCTTTCTACCGGCATTGTTCCCAACTGTCATAACTAAAAGCTAAGATGAATTGAACACACAATAGACATAACGTATACATTCTACCTAGACACTGTAAATAAAGGTGTTGGGGATCAATCGCAAGGGGATCTAACGATATTGCCATTAAGACATAGCCATTGATTTGGTTATTGATATTGATTGAGAGATTAAAAGACGCAGTTAATGATATTGGATCCTTATTGTTTCACTTCGCGCCCCAGGTTCGTATGTAAGCATATAAAGAGTCAGAGAGGCATGTAAAAACTGAAAGAATATATACCATAAGCATGTACATGTAATACTCGTACATGTACATGTACTAGTACTTACCCCAGTACAGGTATCTTATGGCTATTATGGAATTGTTTTTATTTTGATATAACTGAAATGCTACTACCAAGTGAAGCATTAAATTTGTTATTAATTTTTTAATCCTAATCTAAGGGACCGTTCACATAAAAAACTATTTTCTAAATGTATCAATTTTTGGTCTTGATTCATACACAAACGTCATTAAATATGATAGTCCGACGGAGTTGAGAAGTAAAATACGGTAGGCCTACTCGGCATTAGCAGAGGGCATATTTTCCCGTACATTTATATCTTATAAACCTACAGTATATCTTCCCTTTTAATGATATTTCCTCGATCGCGTTTTAAATACTGCTGGCCATTATCACCGCTCAGGTGAAAATCATAATATATACAACAGCGTGACGTCAGTGCCGCTCTCCCCCTCCTTCAAACTATTATTATCCCTACAACAAAGATGTCCGTTTTGCCTGAATAGCGCAATACTGTCTTGTTGCTGTTTACTCTTTTGTTCCCCCTTAGCAACCGGTTTGGTTATTCAGTTCGGGCCTCCATTTTATTTCTCGTAATATGAAATAAACGCCGACTTCCAGAGATTAAAGCAGACTGTTAATGGAGTATATAGGGGATAATTAAAACGCAAAGGTAATGGCTTTTTGATTATAAAATAAATATACTAGTAGGGTAGGTTACAGTTGATGACTTACAGGGACTCTAATCAAAATAACTCATTGCGAATGATTTCACATTTGGAAGTGTTCAGATGTTCAGATCGTTGACAATTTATTGATCTAAATGGAGCCAAAAGATTATCTCAGAATATTGTTATTAAATCTCTACACAGGCTTCTATATAAAGTGGTGTTTTAAGTGGATAATAATAGGGGTCGACAAAGGAGTTTGATATTGACTTGATGGGTCCAAGCAAGGAAGTAAATAGGATTCTTACTTCCTTGGTCCCAAATGCATTGAGTACAAGTAGCAATAATGTGTAGCACACTGTTTAAAGGTGACACATCAAATCTCATAATAAGCAGAGAAACATTCACATCTTGTAAAAATAACAGTCCAACGTTTTGCACAAGCGAGAATATTAATCTACAAATTCCCATTGTTTCCTCAATTGATTAACATATCTGCCTCAGAGAACTATACTCATATATACATGTAGATAGCATAAACGGCTAAATATTTGTCAAGATTGAATAGTCACATATATTCGTATTTAAATTTGTAAACACCCATGTTAGGAGTTAGTGGCATTTGCACATTGATTTTCCCTACTAGTATGTTCTTTGACTATTTCCAGAATATCAACATCAACATGGAATGTCTGCTGAGAGTAGGTCTGCTGGCTCTCCTATGCTCTTGTGCCACTGGTGGGTATATATTTACTATATTTACTATACAGCTTAATATTTACTATACACCTGTATATACAAAATTTAAATTTTACACCACGCAGTAACTCAATAGGTCTTAGGCTACTTCGCAACGCATAGAATATATTTTGTGGGCAGGGGATTGGGATGGGAGGGGTTGGATGGGCGTGGTCCACCAGTACTCTTGCCTTCGGTTTCAGCGACGGGGAACAACGACTGTCTGTTTAGTGCGTCCTTGGTTGAAACCCGGGTGAAGTGAAAATAAAAAAACTTGTATAACAGTTATTACCTAGACTTTCGTGCATATTCTGTGTTATATATTATCACATTCAGCATCATCACAATTGCAGTGTCGCCCTGACGGATAAGCGGGCTTTTGTGTGTGAAGGAGGCGATGCATATGGACTGATCTGCTAGTGTTAGCTCATTTTGCTTGGCACAGGGCTCATCAAACATTTTTAAATATATTATATTTAATCATGTGGCCGTGTGTTCAGCTTTTTGGAGAAGCAATTTTCGTAATGTGCATATTGGTACTTGCTACAAATGATATGTATTAATAAAATGTGTATTTAAGTCTAGTGTGTTAGCGCATAAATGTATCTAGCATGTGAAATATATAACATCAAATTTTATCCCTACGTTTAGGCGTGAGCCAGCCCTCTCTTAGCGGAACCTTCCTACCGGGGACGTCGATTCTTTACCTTGGGTGTAACACGCCCAGTCGCAACAGCAGCGCCCTCTCGTGGTTCAAAGAAGACCCGATTGATTACAGTCTGTCTCTGTTCACGTCAAATCCTGACCTCGAGTTCCAGTCGGTGGCTGCTAGCGACGCTGCCTGTTATTACTGCTACCTTGAAGGAGATGTGGTTGATTTTGTGTGTCTGGACGTTCCGGCCCAACAAAGTAAGAACACTGACGTGGATTCTTGTTTCTGTGTAAAATGAAAATCTTAAAATTGAGAAATATTTTTTTATCTTTGAAAAACTCAGTTTTACTTGAGATATTCAGTTACATTCAGCACCAAAATTGCGCGCAATAATTCATCAATAGCTTACTCACTACAGAATCTACTTTCGAGACATCACAACGAGGGTGTGAAACCTACTACTTCCACAAGCGATATAATATGAAAATAAGAGGCTTGTCTTCACATTCATAAAAAGTCTTCAATAAAGCCATTAATCTTCTTTTTATTATTATTATTTTTTATGATTATAGGTGGGGTGGTGGAATTGTCTTACACCGGAGTCTTCGTGGAAGGAAGCACATTTGAATATTTCGGTTGCAGCAAAGGAGGTAGAGACGCCAGTAACGTCCAGTGGTACGCAGTGAACCCAGGGAGCAACCAGACATTTCACAGCCAGTTCACGCTGGCGTTCACCTCCTTGGCGCCGGGGGACACAGGGTACTATCACTGCATGTATAACGGAGAGTTGGTGGACAAGGTGTTTATTAATGTCACGCAGGCAGCTGTACCAGGTGAGTCCAAGGAAATGTTGCCCCCCCTCCCCATTCAGGGGCGGATCCAGAGCTATTTTCTGACAGTCTTCCAAATTATCTTTGTTATTCCATCCTCCAATTTTGACCGTCTTCCAACAGAAAAAAATTAGATATCTCTCAATGTAAACTTGAAAATCTGACCGTCCATTTTTCAACAATGTCAGTCACATTTTTCAGTTCAGTTTGCTTTCTAGCCTATATTTGACTAATACTCTTTGATATTCATGTATATGTCAAGCTAATACCAGGCGTACCTGATAATTTAAAGTCTTCGAATAAGCGAGACCAACCTTAATTGTGAGGAAATAAGATATTTTCGCACTTTTTTTTTCAAATAAACAAAAATGCACTGGGGATTGGTTTGGTAATTTGAGTAGCTAGCTGACAATTGAATCCAGAAAATCTTAAATGCTGTCGTAAAAAAAAAATGAAAAAAAAATTAACTGCTACTTATATACATGGCATGCCTAAAACACAGAAATAAAGCAAATTTCGTCTACTGACCCTTTTTACGCCATTAAGGGTCCGTTGCCTAAAATGGTACATAATACGACGAACTTAAGACTGGGTTCCCATACTTAGATCGATCCATCTGGATCGACCTAACTCCCTGGGAGTTCACGCTAAATTGGTATCAGCTCAAGAGGCTTAAATGTCTGTCACGCCTACCGAATCAGCTAGGGGATAAAGATAATTACCCCCTTACAGCTTTACTAGGCGAGACAGACATTTAAGACGGTTAAGTTGATGGCCATTTAGTGAGACTCCCCAGGGAGATAGATCGATCTAAATATTTGTGGGAATGGTCCCTGGTAGCTCGTCTTTTATGAGAAATAACGCTGAGTGTGGTACGTGTACCAATGTACCATATTTTAACAATGACGTTGCCTTTCTTTTGCAGAATGCACCGGCGATAACACAGGGCAGGTAGACAAGGTGACAGAAGCGCCACCTAAGGCTCTCACTAGGGATGAGATAATATTCATAGCAATAGGAGCAGTGTTATTCGTTCTCATGCTTCTCCTGTTTATCTGGGCAGTTTGCTGGTGCTGCGCATGCGTGCAAATGAAGCGGGCCACGGGGAAAAGTGAGTAAAATTGCATTACATGTGTGTGTGTGTGCGAGTGCGTTTGTGTTTGGATACGCGCACAGACATATTTCTTTCATAGCTGAAGAACACACTGATAGTAGATCGAAATTAATTAATGCATCTTTTTCACATTATATATAGAAAATTTACATTGTTCAATCATTTTGAAAAAGGTCTACTACAACAAAAATGAAATTATATTAAAAGAGACAAAAATTACGTTATGAATAAAATCCCTTTCAATGCATTTTCCTTATATTAGTCTTGCCTAAATGCAGTATTACTATCTGCTCTTTAATTGAGCACAGTAATAGTCCACTCCACAAGCATATGCGACTCAATATCTTCGCTTATTTTCTTACTGTTTTCGATTTATTCAAAATCGCATGTATTGTGTTTGTACATGTAGGCATACCTGGATCTGATGCTTATTTTCAGTGATATATTAAATGTATTTTCTTTCTAGACATGTGCTGCCCGTGTTGGATGACTTCAGTTATCATACCGGTGGAAGAGAATGCACCGTACGTAATATGCATTATGCGCTTGAGTTTTATGAATATGAATATAGTTTTCCTTGTAATGTTTTTCATTTCAAAGTATAATGCTCATGACTGAATATTTGTTATCAAACTTTTCCCAGAGCTTTGGACCATTACCTGTTACCTTGATCACTTTGAAATATAATGATGATGGCATGATTTTATGGCGGGAACATTGTTATACATAATCTTATATCTGTTTTTAACAACGATCACGAATTAAATAACTGGTTAATACAAATGCGTGTGTGACTGAATAACTTCTTTTTTTATTACTTTCGCTTCATATTTTGTCAACTCAACTGTAGGACCCATCTTAAATCGAGAAAATCCGTAGCTTTAAGTATTCCAATATTTCAAGCGAGAAAAAAATGCAGATTGTTGTTTTAAAGTGTGTATACAATTGTACATGACTTTAAAAACTTATTTGATTCTCTTTTCATTTCTAGACCTGTGACGCCCGCACCACCAATTCCCACAATCTCCCAAGCTGAAAAAGGAGATGCACCACCGTTACCAAGCAAAGTCAAAAAGCACAAGTGGGTGGTTCTTAAATTAGGCATAGCAGATTTTCTTCTGGATATCTTTGTTAAATATATTTTCTTGATTTATGTTTTTTTTTCGATAATTAACACTGTAGCCACAAAGAATTCCGGTTAATTTTTTATCAATACATTTCAAAATTAAGATATCGTTTGTCGACCCAATATTGACCCATTTGATGCAGAGCTCAAGTCCTTATTGTCACCGTAAAATATAACCTCTCTTTTGCAGGAAGAAGCAAAGAGTATCTGACATAACAGCAGCAACGGCGGAGGCCGACAGTCATAAAAAACACCGACAAAAGAAAAAGTCGAAAAAGCATGGAAAAGACACCACGCATACTGTTGTCATTTCATAACGGCTTTTAACAGCGAAAATGAAGCGAGGCGTCTCAATCACGGAAACACCCGATGTTGGTCGAACGATTTAAATACGTACCGTACGATAGAGAGTGTTATATTCAAAGTTACACGATAACCCCCTACATTGTATGTAACGCAGGGCTTGCAGCAAACGCACATCGATATAATATCAGTATTGTGCTTACTCTGTTAAAACATTCATGGTACATATTTAGGCTGGGTGTTTTTTTTCAGGATTTTCAAAAGAGATTATTTAAAAATATACAGTGGATATGGTATTTCTTCCCTCATTTGGGAGACTTATTTTAGACCAGGTGTTGCAAACATCATATCATACAAAGACTGGCAATACTGTAATGCATTTAAACGTACTATTTCTCTAGTCTGTTGGCTGTAAATATAAGGTGCCTTGTAGTAACGTAAGATGTTACTCATTGAAACATGTTTAATCATTCTTTTCGATATTTAATGCTGTGTATAACTGTTGTAATTTGTTACTGTAAACAGAAGAAAGCAAGAAATGGTATTAATATGAGTGGGATTTTTTTCAAATAGACACTGAAAAAGAAGACAAACACGAAAAATTGTCAAATAGTTAAGGAGTTCCCCGCTAGGTGGACTGTGGCAAAATCTTATTGCTAAGGATGCCGCCATAAATTGGAAACCCAAGAAATGGTCGCGCTCTTATGTTTTGTGCAACAAGAAACCCCTTCAGATTCACTTGTTGGTCTAATTGCATCAAAGTAAAGCCGTTTTATAGGCGACTGAAACAATGCCATGTATGTAGAATTTGTACATTTTGTAAATAAAACGTTTCATAAACTATAAGAAATATGACTGGTGAAGATTGTTTTTCGACAGGCTGTTCTGTATTGATGAGTGATAAACGCTTCTTAATGAATTGAGCCACAAGAACATTAGTAAGCAAAGGCAAAAATATTCCTTTTGTTCTGCTTCTTTTTGTTTTGTTTTAAAATCTTACTTTACGTGTTTAAAAAAATATTCGATGTACTGACAGAAACCTATGTCTTTTTTTAAATGAAGAACTTTCCAACTTCCAAGGGCACAACCAGAAGTCCTAAATCATGCAAAGACGATCAAGAAAAAATAGGATTCTAGTGGACCTATTTCCTTTTTTTCTTTTAATAGGTAATAGAATGTGTGCCGAGCAATATCTTCAAATATACTCTGCATAATGTGTAACCTTCAACCAAAAGGGACTTATTAGTGACGTTTTTTAATGGTTTACACAAAGAAATAATAAATGGCAGTATAAATGAAATACCTTGGGAGACTGCAGAATGCCTCCTACGCAATTAATGAAAGTCGGAAGTAGAAGTATCCCTGTCGGCCTTCACGTATTTCGAAGATTAAATCAAAGCCGGAGAAAAGAAAACCACGTTTGTATCTTAAACGGTCTATGAAAACACAAGGTGAAAGACGAAATCATTTGCCACTCAACATTCATCTCCACAATAGGGTAATTGATGAATAAAGGAAATAATTCTTCTACTTCAATTTGCTTTCAATTTACCAACAAATGCATATGAAAACCTAAATTAATCGAGTCTTCTGGTCTGATTTTTTTCTTCTGTGGTCGTATTCCTAGCAGATCATCATTATAAGAAAAGAGAGATCATTCAGTGTCCGGATTACAGGGCCCCAAAGATACTTTACAGCCCTAACGCGATATATATTCTAGGATCGGTGTCGTCAAGGTGCAAATTAAGGACTTAAAGAGAGCAGCGTTATTGGCAAACAGCTTTCTCGTGCAAACAATAAGCAGCTGATTGATCAATCCTTTCGAAGTTTATTGGCAATAATCGTCGTCCTTTTTGATTGCTAGGAGATTTTCATTCATGGTTTCTATCCTTAGACTAAATGGCTTTCTGAGGTCTTGCTAATAAGTGGAAATATGATTCAGCAAAGAGATAGAACCATTCGATAATGTAGAATGACGTGCCCAACCTTAATCCCACTAAGACGACGTATAAAAGAAAAAATCTGGATTCAGTCAAAGCACAAAAGGACTTACAGGATTTCTTTTATTAAAGCGCCTCTTTTTTTTTTGTCAGGGAATGTGATCAAGAAAATCGTACTGTACAACAGATAGGTGGAGATCGTAGAAGAATTGTGTATCTTAAGGGTATATAATATCGTATATATACAGCCCTTGATCTAATGCATCTTCTTGCTTGAGATACTGAAGAGGGTTAGAGCACAGTAGGCTGAAATATTTCGAACGTTTATTTCGAGAAATCGTCTTCCTTGGCTCGTGCATTCCACGACATTACTTGCCTGTGGGTTTGCTTCAGGGGTTAAAATACGTGTGGATAATTTCTCTTTATGGTAAAGCAGAATACCAAAAGGGAAAAGATACAGAATTACATAACACAGACAGCAACCGATCGATTGGGCATTTGCCACGAGCAGTAGGCGTAAAAGCCCCGGGGTATTTAGATTTCCTCCTTACTTTGTGCCCTTAAAGATAACTCCAGGAGGCTTAAACATCGTATTATCAATTGACTAACTCCTGGATACAAGAACGATGCCTGTGGCCAGCAATAGTGCTATACAGATATATTTTCTACTGACACTAGCGATTCTTCTCACGCTGCCACAGCCTAGGGGTATGGTTTCGGGCGCGAGTGTGAAGTCAATCATAAAGACATTGGCGAGAGCCAAGGAACGTTTAGACGTAATAACAGAAGGACCAAATTACCAGAGCATATACACGGACGATTTGGTGGATAAAAAAGAAGAGTTTCCATTCATGGTTAATTTAGATGCTGAATCCGTTTTAAAGTGGGGTATAAACAGTCATGAAAAAACAATACGTTTTCAAGTAACCGTTCCGAAATTGGTATCAGGAATCGGTGTTGGGTTTTCTAACTACGGGGAGACGTCTCATACCGACTGGGCGTTATTGTGGAGCGACCTGAAAGGAAAATCACATTTTCAGGTACGGTATGGTTTGAAACTTATGCATCTAATTCAGAATACAGTATTTCATGCTCATTTAACGACGGTACAAGTTCACTTAGCAACTTGGATAATTACTGGTTTAAAAGACACTCTTTAACCTTTTCAGAGTTTAGTAAAACTTCGAGTGTTTAATGGTATGAGCACGTGGTAATTATTTTACACTTCTTCCATTGACATAACGTGGCGTGTCTGTTTCAAGAAAAAAAATATATTTAGCCAAATTTAAAAAGACCTTCCATAAAATGCATCAATCGCGCCAATAACACTCACACTGCGCAATAAGTTTTATTTGAATTTGTATATTTCACGCTCATTTATTTAGACAAAACTTGAGGCTTTATGTATTTCATTTTATTTGTTGTTTGATTAAACAAGAACGTAGTGACATCAGGGCTTTAGAGGAGTAATAATTATCGTAATTTAATTAAACAGTGATAAGATGCCGTCCACTCAAATCTACTCTTTTCTTAGATTTAAGTAGCCTACGCGCACAACCATCGAATGAACCTGACTGAGCATTGATCAAGTGTCAGCGGAGCCGCTTTAATATATCTGTTACATTCGTTAAGGCTTTCTTTGTATTAGACTTTGGCATAATACTCGGTTGTAATATCTCCCTTACAGCCAAGATTCATTCATTTTTATTTTGACATTTGACAAAAATGACATTTCTTTTAGAGATATGTTCTCCAATTTTACCTGTTCAAAGCATGGGGAATCGTAGTAATCCAATACCTATCAGATGTGTTACTTACTTGATTTTGATAACACAAATTGATAATAATAATAATTTAAATATCAAATAATAATAATAATAATTTAAATATTAAATAACTAAAGGTAAAAAAAAGAGGGAAAACTCCCGCTGTGTCCTTATAATGTTATACAAACTTAACGAGATAAAAACGACTTATTTTTGTAATGTAGTATTGAATTATATTTCAGGACTATTGGAGTGACAACAAAAGTATTCTTCATCGGGATAAAGGTCAGGATTATCGGCTTATTGGTCTATCGAAGGAAGAAAAACAGACACAGCTGACGTTCGAGAGGGCGTATGACACATGTGACCGTCATGATTACGTCATTGACGTAGGTTGAAAATAATTGTTTATAAAAGCACTGAGTGCAATCGATCTGTTTTCACCGCAATTAACCAGTGTTTGCCCACCTGCCGATTACCATCATATATCTCTGATAAACATTTGTTAACCTTATTCAAGCTTTACCTTTTGTTTAAAGAATGCGTAGTTGTAAATATTTTTTCTGTCTTCTTTTCTGATATCAAAAACGCAATTAGATTTCGCAGAGGATGATATTCAACATTGATTGACTGTATACGACTGTAACTTAAGGAATTTATAACAGAGGTTATTCTGTACATGCATTTAAGGCCACATCAAGAGAATAGTTATCTGGTACCGATGTAGGCATCTTGCATGCTATTTCTGGTTATTATTGACCGGACGTGTGACTTTGTTCCTCATATGATAGGCCTACCATTTTCGTACTGAAATTAAGATAAAAGAGTTTGTATGATTACAGTATAAAAAAAGGTAAAGACTATTTACATTTCTTTGATTTCTAACTTAAAAGATTCCGTTGTTTTATTTCATTTTTATCTTTTTAGAATGGAACCACACATATTCTGTTTTACACAGCAGACGGTAATATCGCGTCACCAGATGGCGTTAATGTCTCCCATACGTCACCAATCCTCCAAAGAGTGCAGCTTCTCAAACCAGGCATAGAGTTGCCCTCATTGCCCGACGACGCCCACACTTTCGAAATTCTGGCACCGAATGTGAGTAGGCCTAATATCTATGAACTCGATGAAAGAAAAGCATGATAAATCTTATATTTAACCGAACGTTATTTTCTCTCATTCCAAATGATGATCAATGCAAAGTTGGGTTGATTTGATTTTTGTCGGTCGTACCCATTTAAATCGGGCAATCATAAATCAGTGAATGCTTACAATCTTTTGGAAACAATCTAAAAAGACTTAATGAATTGTCGTTTGTTGTGTTTAAAATAAACCACGCATATAAGCTTCAAGTTGGAATGTGGAGCAAGATATTTGTAAAATTCGTCTATTTATTATTATGAATTTGTCTATTTATTGTTATGACGACGTACCAACATGTAATTCCATACTCAAGAGTCTATACGTCGCAAAAGTATCCTTTTCATTCTAATAAAAAAGAATCCCGCGAATCTTAAAGGGATAATAACTCTTCGAATGAGTTCTATATTTCACAATAAAAACATTGTGAACAACTCACAGAAATATAATACATTCTGCTTTACCACAAAAACGGCAGTTATAGCTACATGTATTATTCTGATATCTGAGCTTGTCTTTAGACCACGTCACCTCCATAGATGACTATACTTTATACTTTTCTAAAAAAACTTTTTAGAAAAAAACCAGGGACTAACTTTGAATGTAAAAATGGATTCATTAACCATTGGTAAGTATGGGAAAATTGTTGTTTACTCCAGGGAAATTCATTTTTTGGCCAAAACGAAGAGTTATTATCACTTTAACTGAAACCTGTTGAGTTACACATGCAAATTGATCTAATCACGAAGAGCAAGGGTTATTAAGGACCTAAATTTAATTGATTTTGTCCCCATGATCAGGTAACAGTGCCAGCGGAAGAGACCACATATTGGTGCTACGTGGCCACCATGCCGCGTCTCACGGCAAAACACCACATCGTGCAGGTAGGTTGGCAGAATTATAGCTGTGGAAAGCCCCCTATACACTGGACGGCGTCCTTTCTGCCTCTCGTGGTACGGCCCCGTTTGAGAATAAAAAAATACTTTGTGCCGACAACTGGCCAATCATTGAACATTCATTCTGTACCCAAAGCCAGTTTCATGGTCGCACAAAGGACGCAGAAAGGACGCTGTCCAAGTGTAATTTTTTTTTACTCCCCTTCAGTCCAGTCCTAGCATTATGACCTCCATCTACCAGTAGGGTTATTTTGCATGTTAACTGTTTCAAGGTGAGGAATAAAACCTTTTGATGACAAAACTTGAACCTACCTGACAACTGAGTACCAGATGCGAAGGTAAACCCTTCGATTACAAAAGTTGAACCTACATGTGTTTTTGTCTTTGAATAGCTTTCGCCATAAATCAAATTCAGGGAGACGAATAATCATAACCGACACCTCTCCTCAGAACGTAAAAACCTTGCGGACAACATGAAGATCTAAGCTTTTGAATGCACAAATCTCTGGAGTACCGGTATTAGATAAGATTTGCATTTGTAAAAACTTTTATGTTTCATCATAGCACTAACAGGTGTGTTCCATCCTTAGTTCGAGGCAGTGATTAAGCCAGGAAACGAGCATTTAGTTCACCACATGGAGGTGTTCCACTGTGAAGTTCCGACCAACAAAATAGTCCCCAGCTACAACGCGCTGTGTCACGCGGAGACAAAACCAGAACAACTGAAAAGCTGCACCCGAGTAATTGGAGCTTGGGCCAAAGGCGCACAAGTGAGTGATTAAGATAATCATATCATATCATATCATATCATATCATATCATATCATATTCATATAGCAAATATATTGGAAAGAGAGCGCTATTCAAAGCAGCTGGGAAAAGTTTCAGTCTATTTTTAAAAGAAATTTTAAGTTATCAAGCGCAGATTCTTGCCTCTGATAATGTTCCATCAATAGGTTTTTTAACATCCATGCAGCCTTCAAGACAAGTTTCATAAACAAAGCTCTCAGATTAGCACCTGTCGGCAGTTTATTTCTTGAGGTTCTTTGAACTTGTTTTCTACAGGCCTTTGTTTTGCAATCACAAAACCGGCATTATGTTTCTTTTTAATACTAATCAGAATCTACATCAAATTTTCAGCCTTTTGTTTACCCGTTGGAGGCTGGCTATTCCGTTGGCGGCCCTTCCTATTCCACTTTTGTGTTGTTAGAGGTTCATTATAACAACCCTGACCGTCTAAAAGGTGGGTTTTCTGTGAATATCTTTATTGTTTGGTATCCAAATCTTCTGTCTGGGTGAGAAAAAGAATATTCGGCTGCACAAGTTTCATATATTGGCCAGATTTGTAACGGCTTTCATTTTAATATTTATTTTTTTATTATTTTCTCAACAAACTAGTAAAAAATAGATATTTTCATTATTTTCTCTTCAACAAACAAGTAAAATATAGCTATATGCAAGTCGAAAACACGCATATTCGATTAAAAAATAAAATGACGTAATTGTGCCTTTATATGTCATTTAAGACCAGTCTGACTTATTATATGAAAACAGAATGTAGACGAAATTTCCGCGATCGGAGTAGTTAATTAAACATTTTGGTCATTGGTCGACGCTAGTTGGGCCAGTTCACAGTTTAACATGGCCATAATTTGAACTGACCTTTTAATATGAGGCTTGTCCTTTAAAGGGAAGGTGGATAGCTCTGGGATCCGTTTCCACTACACACCCAAGCTACGCGCCTACGACGCCGGGGTGATGGAGCTCGGGCTGATATACTCAAACGCGATGGCGGTTCCACCTGGCCGTGAGATCTTCAAACTTTCCGGGCAGTGTGTGTCTCATTGCACAGAAAAGGTACTTCTGGGAGGGTAAAATTGATTAGCTTGGTTTCATATTGACGTGATGTTTGATAATCCCGTAGAAATAAAAACGTTAAAGATTGAAAATATATTTAAAAAATATAATACTGTTTGTATTTAATAAAGGGAATGGGTGCCCAGTTAACGTATATCAAAGCATGTTTCTTATATCTAGATTCTGAATGTTAGTTTTTTTCCTTATATAAAGGGTCTTCCAAAACCTGGAATTAAGATATTTGCGTCTCAACTACACACCCATCTTACTGGACGCCGAGTTTACACGAAGCACGTTCGGGAGGGTATGGAACTGCCCGAACTTAACCGAGATAACCACTACAGTCCACATTTTCAGGAAATCCGGCTTCTACTGGAACCAAGACTCGTTTATCCGGTAAATATATGTTTTTTGAATTTGTCATTGGTGCGCTAGAAATAACGAGTAATTGTGAATAGTGGTCAACTCAGAGGCATTTGTGATGAATCTAATGCCTCTCAACCTCAAGGACAAATAATTAGCGTTACTTTTTTCCTGAAAGTTCAACACTTTTCTCTTAAAATCCAATGTACACCATATAGGGCTCCTGTCAAAATTACAAGTCGAAAGATTCGAGTCAAAAAAAAAAAAAAAAAAAAAAACTTATTTTTGAGTAACTTTCGTAATAGAGATATAGACTGGTGGATATATCTTGAAAGCTTAAATTAGAATTTTAGAACCCAAAACAAGTATAAAGATCGCGATTTTCTCAACAGTTTTGGGTAAAATATTTTTTGGTGATTAAAAGGGAATGTTAAAATTTCTTGAAATGTTTTTTTTTCGATGTAAACGTCTTACGAGGACTGTGTACCTCTAAATACTTTATTCAAAGTGCCATGGGTATGTTACCACGCTGCTTTTATCTTGTGATATTTGACACTGTTTAAAAAACAATATATTTTAGGATCTTTTAGGACTGTGTCTTATTCGTTTACTGTATAAATGCAGTGAGATGTTGAATTTTTCTTAGGGAGATGGGCTGATAACAATATGCGAGGACAATACGATGAAGAGACAAAATGTTACCATGGTGAGTTAAAATATTTATAAACTCTTCTGTATTGTTTGAAATTCATGCCAGTTGATCATGATTATAAACAGTAAGGCTACATAGAGTGCTCCTCTGTTCCAAACAAAGTAGCCTTTAGTCTCAATGCAATGAAATTCCAATTTATAAATCTTTAGACTAATAAACCTTCCGACTGTAAGGACGCACCAAAAGCATTATTAATAATAATAATAATAATGATAATAATAATATTGTTACTTTAAGATCGTCTTTGTAGGTACATATATCTGTATGCATCTGTACATTTTTTTCTTTTGGTTTCCTCAGAGTGGTTTCAGTATTGCTGACGAAATGTGTGTGAACTACGTCCATTACTACCCTAAAGTGGACCTGGAGGTGTGCAAGAGTTCCATAGACCCGGGTGTGCTGTCAAGATACTTCACCTATATGAAAAAGTATGCCTATTTTATCTTGAAAACTAAGGATTATGTTTTGTAAAAATGATTCTTTTCTTCCACCAACAAAGTTGATAAAGAAATTACTTGTAGTTCTCGGTTGCGTAAAATAAACTAAAACTGTTAGTAGGAGACTCCAAATAATCGCTTAGAAAGTGGTTGACGTTGTGTAGCAGTGCACCTAAAATTTAAAAAAGTTAAAATCTTTTCCAACGATGACCCCAATCTTTTTTACAACGACAGTCAATAATTATAAACCATGCTACTCCTACTCAAATAACCCGATGACTTGTGAAAATCTATTAAAAAGGAGATTCTGATACCTGTAAAACAATTAAATAGCGACCACTCTATGTGATGAGTCCGATTGCCGACTTGTATTTTGCACAGATTTTGTATATCAATTGAAAAATGAAAATTGTATTCACTTGAGCATTTGACCAACATTCTAGATTCTTCCAAGCGGACACGTCGCCGCAGAAGTCCTTAAGGGAAAATTATTCCTCCATACCTTGGACAAATGAGACGTCCACGCAGCTCCAGTCTCTCTACGATAACTTTCCTCTAGAAGTGGAGTGTAGACGATCATCGGGGGAATTGTTTCCGGTAGGTACTGTAAGGCATCCATAGAATTTTGATGTGCTTCGATTTCGCCTCTCTCTCTCTCTCTCTCTCTCTCTCTCTCTCTCTCACACACACACACACACACTTTATTTCTATATTAACCGCTTTAGTGATTTAAATGCACCAACTTTTCCACCTTCCAGGGAACGTGGACAGACGTGTCACAAGATCGAATCACCAAACCGTTTCACGCAGACGATGACCCGTGCAGCGAGGTGTCGCTGATGCAGGATGCGGTCATGACCATTGAAAAGTCGGAACTTGATGAAAGGACTATTTATTAACTATGGAACATCGTTTTCCTTTGGGCAGTGGGCGACGTGTATTTGAATTTGATCGTAATTGAAATTTGAAATTCTTCATATTTTAACAGATACGATTGCAATTTTAAAGGTGGTGGACAATAAATGTAGCCTAAAGGCGTTTTTCAGCATCTACCACACCGCATGCCAAAAAAAAAAAAAAAAAAAGACAGTTATTTAAAAATTTTACATATACTGATGAACATCACTAGTGTTAGACACATCAACACTTTGCTAGTGAATAGTTTAAATGCTACATTGGAACATTTAACGGAAAAAAGCATGGCGATGTTACTACATGTAGGCTACTAGTAAATATTTTCCAACAAGGGTCAAACCCCTTCCTTCTTGCAACTCCCAGATTTTGATGTATTTTAATACATCAAAATCTTTATTAATGTTAAAACATTAATTAAAATACTTAAAACCAATATTTTTTTTTACTTTATTTGAATGGATTGATAAGTGTTTCAATAGACCCTAACTAATACATTTTAATGATGCGTCCAAACTCTTCTTTAAAAAACTTAAAGCTTAATTTTTTCATCATATCAGGTGATATAAAGCGAGGTAGATATATTTACATTTGAACCTTGCATTTTTTTTCGAAAGAAAATATATCAGTTGGTACAAAAATATATGTCTCTTAATACAATTATTATCAAAATAATATACTTTCTTGAAAAAGATATTGAAATGGTTCAAATTTGGGAGCAATGACGCATTGATGAAAATATTGTTTTAGCGCTGAAGAGTACGCTGAAAACACGCAATGACACGTTTTAGTTCTAGAGCTGTCGCATAAAAGTACAGGGTAAGGAGTGTACCAAAATATTTTCTTTGAAAAGCTTCACCAATTAGGAACTTTCAGACTTGATCTTATTTGCATATTGTACATAATTTGAAGAGAGAACAGTATCGATAATTAAAATGGAACGAGGACCAACATTTTCACAAGACAACAACGAGATATTTAGCAGATAAAAATTAGTATTTTATTCAAAATGAACAGGTAAATAACAAAATGTGCTCTTGGTTCATATATACGTGTGCAAAGCAAGTTAAAACATGAGCATTGTGTGGAACCAGAATAAAGACAGATAAAACATCTGACAGTGGACGGTAAGTTGCATGTGTCAAATAACTTAACAATATAAATGTCATCAGTAAAGTTTTTAATAGTAGTTAAAAATATAAATCCAAAAATCGATATAAAAAGACACTGAAACCAAATATATAAGATTTTCACTTCTTTGAGTTTAAGTTCTGCAGTAACAGCAAAGCCTGCAGTAAATTATCTTCTCCAGCAATGTTGGAGGTAACAACTTGTAGAAAATACCCCCCCATTGCAGGTACAGATATTAACATACCAAATCACTCTATAACTATTTCACAACCACAATACAATTCTTCTTGTAGGATGATATTGGCCATTTGTTGAAGTGGGTAAAAAAAGGAAAAACTCCCTATAGATGAAACATTTGTCAACATCAAAGAGGAGGCCTTCTCCAAAAATTAACATCTTATCCATAAACAGCCAACTCCCACATACATACTCAACACATGAACAGTCAACTAATTATACTTCAGACTTCTGTTATTGTCACAGTCAAACATAAATATGTAAGGGAAAAATGAATATCTGTATGCAAAACAATGGCAATCACAACAAAAAGCAATTTGCTTAAAGGGGACTGTCTGCCCTAAACTTTTTAATTAATTATCTAATATACCTAAATAAAAAAATGAACTTTCTTTAGGTATAATATTTACTTATCCACATCTCATGCTGTTACAATAATAGTGGCTGCAATTTCTATTCACATGTGGGTAACTGCAACTGGATGTAAAAATATATATAATAACAGAAGTGAAAAACAAACAGAACAACATTTTTTAATTAAAATGTTTTTGACCAGATTTTTAATAAAATGTGCTGCTGAAAACATGAGAAAGATTATTCTTCTAAATAGTACAAATTTTTTAATTTCCCCTCATACAATGCATTGACATTCAAAGCAAAAAAAAAAAAATAATAATAATAATAAAAATAATAAAAAATTAAAAAAATAATAAAAATAAATAAATAAATAAAACAATAAAATAATAAACAATAATAATAACATTGCCAAAACAATTACCTTTACCAATATTTCAGCAAGTATTTTTACACGAATATTTTGATTGAATGCTATAAGACTATGATACTGCTTTTGCTGAAAGTCCACACAACAACATTCAACAAAAAACAATGTTTGTACAAAACTTGACCGTAAGTACAGTCATGGTAATATCCTTCATAAATGAGCAACAGTTCATTTGCTAAAGAGTAGAAATAAAATAAATGCAATTTTATGCATTATATTGCAAGTAGTGCCTCTTACTGTACATATACCCCAGTAGATCTATATACACACATCTAAGAGCAAGTAATGAACACTCATTTATACTGACTAGCAAAATATTGCAAAATTAATCAATTTGAAACCACTACATATTGTTTAAATACACTTAAATATTCACGTATAAGATATTAATTGAAAAATAAATAATTTATGAAATGCAAATATGACATTGTTCAAAAGGCATGGCATATTTTAGTTTCATAGTTTGTTGTTATTTGAATATATACTGTAATCTCCACATTTGGTATACAAATAATTATATATATAACATATCTCTGTTTTTGTGACAAAAAGTATTTACACACAAAAAACAATCAAACGCCATGAAAATTTAAATCTCTATACCTCAAAGATTATTCACATTGAAACTTTTTGTTACATTTGTTGTATTGGTCCATAGTTGTTATACAAATCCTTATATACTGATTATCTGTGATAATCTCATAATTGCTATCTGCCAAGGAAAAAAGGGTCCATAAATAGTTATCATTAAAACACGGCATAACTTCCCTACTCCTTATCCTAACCATAAAGAAAATCATAAACTGTAATTGTTACACTTTATAAAAGACATCAAACCAAAATTTATTCTTAATATGGATAATTCAGTACTCACAACCTTAAGGTTCTGCACAACCATCAAATGCTTTTACATAATTTATTGCTGAAAGAAACTGAAAATAATTTTTAACTCACATTCCTTAAAATCAGGCTGTTTTCTGTTATGAATTTTTTGCTGCTAAGAAACAAAATGACTGGGCAGAAAAAAAATTGTTTTCAGAATTCCACATTTTTTCTGGTACTGTTCTTTATTCTGTGACTAAAAATTCCACTTGTCGAGTTGACCTACTTTTAAAGGCCTCGGCAATAGTTTTGGCGGCACCTCTGTGTTCCAGACCTTCAAGACGCCGCCCATTTACGGCAAGGATAACTTGACCTACTTTCAAAGCTCCACAATCACTGGCTGCACCACCAGGCTGCTCAGAAAAAAAAGGAAAATAAAATTATGCACCTTAAAAAAATTGTGAACCTACAGTATTTAATTCAAACTGGAAGTTAAGTGTATGTCACTTTTTAATTCAGAACCACTTTGCTTAAAATACAGGAACTACCGTCTTATTTTGACCACACCCTTTTATGCAAATCAAATGTCACACGACTCATGACTGACGTAACACATACCTGTATTGTAATGATACGTGGGAGGGGCTGCCGAGTATTGGCCCCGCCCTCTATAGCAATTCCCAGGGTTGGCTTGGTCTTGTGTACTATAACCAACTTCTCCCTGCCTCCATCTCTTGTGCTGGCATCAGACATGGTACTGCTTGGGGTCTAAAGGTCAAAACACATACTGTTTATTTTTATATAAGAGAGAGATCTCATTTTACTCTACTTCTAGTCTAAGGACTATTAGTACATCCATACCCATAATATTAAAAAAAAACTCAAAAAGCATATATGTCCACTATAGCAGCTCAGTTCTCATTATCATTTCATATTATAATCAAAGGACCAAAACCAAATCTATTTGATTGTAAGTTTGCCCATTTTTGACCTATCCAGAAAATGAAATCAAAATACACCAGTATCTTCTTGAGTTTGGAGTTAAGTAAAAACCAGCCAAGGCAAAATCATAAGTGCCTTGGTGAAGGTCATAAATATATGATTTATACATAAATGAACAAAAAACAAGCCTGAGTTTATAGTTATACCAAGTAAAGCCAAGCATTTTTTTAAGTTTAAAAAAAAGCTATATTCATGTTTTTGAAGTACATACAGCATTATAATGTGTTTGTTTTCGGAGTTCCAGAAGCTGTTCGCTAGACTTTTTCTTCTGTACCACGCTTCTCTGTTGTTCCTTTGGCACGTGCTGAAAGAGATTTTCATTTATCAAAGGAGCAATCAAAAGTAGGATATAGAAGTGCCTTGGACTCCACATAACTTTGGGACTAGAAAACTAATGCAGCTATTACACCAAAATTGGGTTTAGTCAATGTTGAAAGTTACAGATAATTTAGACTTCTTATTTAAACTTCAAGTTGAATAGCAGACTTTATGATTTTGACCAATGATATGATGTTGGTCTATCATTAAACAAACGACTGGTCCATCACATATATCATACTGCCTAACTGAAAATATACCACAATCACATTGCCTCTTATTGCATAATATTTAAAACATAACTTCATTAGCTAAGATCCATAACAGTCTGTGCTAGGACTTTTGCCTTAAGCTCTGTTGTCTAGTGGAAAGCCTGAAAACAATTTTTAAAAAGTGATTTCACCCAAGTCTCTTACATGCAAGGGGTCGCTGAAATACCTCTTGGACGGTTTGTCATGGTCTGGGCTCATCTAGAAGAGAAATGGCACACACAAATTAAACTGTAAAATTGTCACATCATGCTCTATTTAAATATATGATATGTCATTATTAAAAAAATCACTTCCAGTGTGTGAATTCATGCAGGTATAGAAGAATGTTATGAAAATCACTTTGTAAATAGACATTTTTGTTGTACAAAAAACCTAACTGTTAAAGTCTGCTCATAAAGGGGTATATTAGACTGTTAAATTGGACCAACTTGTGTCATCTGATTACAGAATGCCGGTTTAAAATGGTCCTGGTCTGAATACATCCTTAGATTTTTCAAGGTACCTTAAGACATTTTCAATCAATTTAAACTTAAAATCTGACTTACTCCACTTTGACTAGATGAGTCTGTAGTGATGCTGTCAATGCTCGGTCTTCTGTGTAATCTTGTATTCCGCCTGTTGTAATATTCCATTGATCCATTGAGACCTGTAGTTCTATCATTAGTGTGAACATAATCTTTTGAACCTGCAGTTCTTCCAGTGCTCTGAGGTCCCAAAAAGTTAATCTCATTTCTGTCGTCATTTTGCAAGTTTCGGGCATATCTGTTCGTAAATTTATTTGGACCATGGGTGGCCTTAGATATGTTTGGGGAAGAAAGCCCAGAAGATTGTTGCCTCTCACTATTTCTTAATGTAGAAAGAGTTGAATCCCCATAACTAGTGCTGGTATTCATGTAACTTCCACTATCCTTTTTATCTATTGGATGCTGGTCACTGCTAGGCAAGAGTGTGCTATTTGTTCCATGTCCACCACTGGGCATTCTTTGGTTTGGACCAAGAGCCCTGGGGAATTCATGCTGACCTTGAATTGACCTCTGACCTTGATTTGTCCTTAGTTCTGGCTGAGGGCTTGGAACTCTGTATTTACTGGCTGAATCAGTAAGACCACTGTCAGGCTCAAGGCTGCTGTCAGTATAGTTGTTATGCCTTTGCTGTAGCAGGCTAGGTCTTTGATGCAGTCCATTGTGTTGTTCAAAATTTGGAAAGTTCCGATTTTGATTTTGGCCAGGCCAATGCGGATTATTTGAGTTATGCACAACTGGAGCAGAACTTTTATGTATTGCATTGCCTTTATCAGCAGAAAGATGAGTATTTCTTTGTGGACTGGGACTAGCCCTTCTTTGGTCCTTCCCATGGTTATTGGAAACGTGTCTAAGAGGACTTCTTTCTCTTTTGTGCCTCTCTTGGACTCCATGGCCATTTTGCCCTGGTACTTGTAAAAGATTTGCCTGCTTATGGTGGTTTTCTATATTTTCTTGTCTCCATTCTGTGAAAATATTACTGCGTTTACCCTGATTTTGGTTTGTTTGATTTTGTACATCATTTTGTTCTGAGTATGCTTTGCCGTCTGCTCGTTTACCCTGTTCTATGTAACCCTCCTTTACCCCATTCTGTTCAGGCTGTCCTCTCACATTGACTGGCACAGACTCATTTATTGTAACAGGTCTCTGGGGGGAAATGGTGACCCTGGAAATAGTAATGTTTATGTTTATGGTGACAATTATAATAACACATACCAAGGTTACTCTGAAAATAAATACAATAGATATAATGTGATTTTTAATAATGCAGCAAATATAGAAGACTTATCTACAGGTCTTAATCCAGTAAAAATGTTTATTTTTTCTTTTGACATTCAAAATTATTGTAAGTTGTTAAACTTGGAAAAAAACACATGAAATGAAATGTGATAGCTGTTCAAACATCAGTTTTCAGTTGAGAGCAATCACAGGCTTGAACATGGAAAACTATTATATCATAATTGGCCAATTTCTTCATAAGCCCTATTATACATTGTAATCATGACCAACCATTTCCAGATTTGAAGCAAATTATGATGTTCCTGGGTATAATGTAGTACTTATTTTGGAAGGAACGGGCTGGGTGGAAGACTACTGTAGGGGCTGTGTTATTGAACATTTCCAGCATATGATTTTTGGCATATTTATTGAAGAATGTCATGGGCAGATGGAAGTCATCTTCTGGGTCTTCTGGCAGATGGTCATAATTTTTAAGTTTACATTTAGGGGCATCTTATTTTTTCTTTGGGAAGACAAAAATGGAAAATGGATCAACAAACTTAACATAATTTGGAAGACTGTCTGAAAATATATATGGATCCGCCCCTGAATGTGACAAAATTGTGTCAATAACACAGGTTAAAACTAAATGTTATGGTTGACTTTTTAACATAATGAGCCAATTACATTATGCAATTATGCATATAGGTGCAAATAGGTTAAAAGCCTTATAGGATCTCTTTAACACGCAAATGTGCAAACTAATTGTATATGTCCATGCAAAGTCGACCATGCAACCACACCTGTCACTCGGCAAATATTCGCATGCAATCATGACTTACAGTCCTTGAAACTTCCCTGTCTGAACACTGTATGCATTTATGCATGTGCATGCACAGATGTGTTCTATCTGCACATTTAGATATACGTATGTGTGGAACACTGCTTTTTAGTGTTAGATATATAAAATTACAGTACAATATAAATCTAAAAATTATTCTTAATGTGCATTTTTACTAGTATGGGTTCTAAGTGAAAAAGTGCACTATATCTGTTTCACATTTTCCCACTAATATGTGGCAAATAGAAAATTTTTTTCTTAATTTCCTTGTGTTCAGACAAGAGATCTTTGAGGAGGCAAATAATACAATGCCATGCTTAAACTTTTTGTACTTCATTGGGTAAGCATGCAAGCTAAACATTCTGAAACCTACAAGACAAAGTGTTACCTATTTATCATTAAATGTGTAGCAATATGACATATATTCTATTAAGAAGTAAGACATGGTAAATCAATAAATATCAAAGATCAACCAAAAACATGTAAACCAATAGAAATGGAAATCACTAATTAAGGTTCAAAAAAGAATCTGACAGATTTTGTGTAATTGTGCAATAAATTAATACTTCAGAATTAAAATGCAAAACTGCCAATTAATTTTTCTGTTGATTTTTTTAAACAATGGTAAATGTCAAACATATTTTTAAAACTCTGTCTGAGACCATACAATCTCTCAGTCAGCTTTTCATATTTGCATTATAATAATTTTTTAAAAAACTGAGGTATAGTTTTTGTAGAAGCTATTATTGGTAAAAAAAAATAACTTGTGGGATAAATTAATTTCTCTTTTCTTACCGTAACATCTATTAGGAATTTTCAAAGCTCGCAACAAATTTCTTTACGGAGCAGTGCTGCAGTGTACGTAAGCATACTTATAGAAGCCTTCTTGGACAAACACAATATAATATTTCTCTGTCAGATCATTTTTGAACAATAATTTAAACAAGAATCAGCACACCAACCGACCTCTTCTTCTTGCCTTGCCCACTGGTTGATATGCTACTACGGCAAAATAAAAATGAGAAGAAGCAATCTACTAAATGCAGCTCAGTGAAAAAAATTCTTAAGATAATTTACTAACAGAAAAACAAATTAAAGAAAGAAAACACTATCACTAAATATGTTTCTCACGATGCTTTAAAAGATTTGACTATTAAACAAAGTAAAGAGAATCAAGATTATTATTACAGATGCTTCATTATATTTGTCAATAAAAAATTGTTTGACAAAGATAATAATAAAAAATAAAAGATATGATTAAAATCCAAACAACACATTATATTGCAAAAACATTATCTAATTCCATTCTAATATTAAAAACCCTAAATACCTGGTGATGATATTGAAATATCATTACCATGTATTAAAAGATATGCCATTCACAGTTTTTTTTTTCAATTTTTAATTGAGAGGGTGAACTATATTGATAAAGATTACTGAAAGAGGAGGTTTGATTTTGTCACTTCTGTTAAAGACTAACCGATAATATTTTGTACATGTATTTAAAGACATTTCATTGCTTATTTTATCATCATTTTTCACCATTTTCTGGTGGCAAATAAATAAACAAAAAAAAAATAAATAATAATAAATAATAAAGAAATAATAAGTATGTTATCCTAAATGATCTGCAACAAGTCAGCCTGAAAAAGTTTTAGGTGTCTTTTATTTTACAATAATTTGACTGATTTAAAAGAATTAAATATATGCTGTCCAAATTAAAATGTACCTGCTATTTTGTTGGTTATTGAGATGTCCATTGAGTTGGTCAAGCCTTCGTCCACCACTGATGAAATGACCATTCAGGTCCACTCCACTATCCTCACTTAATGCTCGGACTTCTTCAAATTTCTGTTGCAATGAAAAAAAAATTATAATGAAGTTTGCCAGATTTTATTCCAATTGAATTCTTTGTTACTATATGTTTTTATAAATAATAAGTAATAAATAATATAGAAAATGATATACTTTTACATTGATAAAAACCATCAAAGACTTAAAAATCCATGCATAATAATTATCTTCAGTAAAAAAACATTTTCAAACAGCTTTGCTCCCTAAAACGAATATCCATGGTCTCATAAAGTAAACTAATTATAAGGAAAAGACAGTATTTACGTATGCAGTAAATAATTGCATCTCCTTTGTAACTCAAAATGGATAAACTTTGTAACTGAGTAAATTTACCTTTCTGCGTGCCACGTGTGACCTAGATTTGACAGGCGTACTGGTGTGGACGGCATGAATATCTGCAGCAACTGTCATATTTCCACTTCTACTAACCCCTGGACTTGGAGAACGCCTTCGCTGCTGTGCAATTGAAGGTTCCTGCAGAAATTGGGTCATTTCAGTATGTGAAACTGATCGTTTATATACATTTATACATTCTGCCGTACGGTTAAATCTGGTATAATTAGCGCCCCTTCTGTAGAATCTAAAATATATCCTTAACTATGTCCGTTCATTTTCATTTATCTTCATTGAATTTGTATGAATATTTGTTTCACTGTATATATATTACGTCTCAATGTTTGTAAATTTGCGCCAGTACCAAATATTAACTAAATGGACAAGAATCTTTTCCTTAGGGTGAGGCATTTATACCATTTTATATCTATTCAACGCACCATTCGTAAATAATCTGGCAGTCCATGAGAGTCATCAGGAATTTCTTCAATAGCATCATGGTGGGCATTAACAGTGTCTACCTTAACCTGAATACAAAAATGTTATCAAGTACTAACACCTCCATAAAATGATAAAAAAAAAACTATTATAAGAAATATGCAGCAATTAATCTTAATATGCTTATAATTGTATGCTATCAAATCTGATGAAACAAATCACAGGTACATAAATATTCAATCAAAAATCAAATTCTTATCATGGCAAAATCAAACTTCATCCTTTACAACTCTTAATGATAAGAAAATGTCATTATGTGTCCATTAAACATTGCACTGGCATAACATATTCCTTTGTGAAACAAACATGGTTACAGTTATTTACTTTGACATGTGCAGGCAGCTGTTGTGGAACTGTAGGTGGCACCACAATGTGACTGAATGATCCATCTACAGAGTCCTATGATTGGAACCAAGAAGTATTATTTAAATTCAACAGTACAGCATTCAAAAATTTTAATTCATACTTGTCAGTTTTTTAATTGTACAGGGAATTTTGATTTACTCAAAAATCTAATGGTCTGTATTTGTAACCTACCTCACAAATGCAAACTTCAACAGTTACCTATTAAGTCTTTGATATACATTATACTTCATAAGCAATCGGTCATATTATTTTTACAAAAATTGTGTATTTCTAATACTATGCAGACTACAACACATTCTCTACAAGCTAGCACTAGGTGTTCAAATACATAAAAACAATTATACAATGTATCTTCAGGAATACATCTAAAAAAACGTGAATGGTACATGTACATCCACATTATATGCCAAAGTACGTCAAAATATTTTTGAACCAAGTTTCATTTCGTTTGGAAGCTATTAGCAGATTTTTGGCAATTTACATATTTTAGTGGCACTAATGTACATGTACTTTGATCTCACACCATACAGCACATTTCTTAAGCCAACAGCCAAAAGCACTTTTTTTTGCCCAAAAAAATAAAAGAAAACATTAAAAATGTTCTGATAAAAAGAAACTTTCATCTCCCTAAAAATTAAAACCAACAATGACGTTAATTAAACAACAAAAAGAAAATAGTTAGTAAAAGGAACAGATATTGTTAAGACCTGGTACAATTATACGTACTTTGGCAGACGTACTGGAAAAACCAGTGTAGCTGGAGAGAGAGCTGTCAAAGGAGTTTTCGGACATGCCGTCCGTCGTTGTATAAGGGTGGGAATGATGGGACTACAACAAAAAAAGCGAAGTATGTTACATACACAGTATGCATGCAGCATTCTAAACAATTTCCATTAAATAAAAAGCTTCATATTAATTAATTATCAAATGAAATGACAGTGGAGGATTTTTTTTTCGTTCCTTTTCAGTTGGAAATTGCTATTGTGAGAATTTCGTTAATATCAACCGAAACTAATAGTAAGCTCTATTATGTATTTATTTCCTCAGTTCAGATTGATCCAAAACACAAAGCTCAGTTACAGAAAACCTATATGAAATTAAAGTTACTGTACTAGACAGAAATCATGCAAATTATGCAACTCCATGCACTCACAGTGTATAACTGTACCTCTGCCATAAACACTATGATTAGTATCTTACAAGCTAAATTTTCAAACATTAATATATTGCAAGTATAATACCAGTACATTGTCAATTAGTTAAATAAAGGAACTTTTCACAACAAGCATGCCTCTTGATAATTTCACATCATGCAGTAAATTTTTGAGTATTGCACCAGTTTGCAAGGTCATAACATGTAATGGTGGTAAGGGGTAGGTGTGTGTGTGCGTGTGTGTATGTGTGTGTGTGTGTGGGGGGGGGGGGGGGCACTCCCTTTCCAAAGTACCAATCAAAATGAATCCAGTTAAATGGCCACGTCAAGTATGGGGTCTCTGTTTAGGTGACTCTCTTACTTAATAACCAGGCTATCAACTTTTCAATCTCTCAAACTGAAGCAGTTTAGAAAATTCTACTGCTCAATGTGAAAAGAGCCTTAGGGACCATTTTCATACCCTATCGTACTAGCAGGACTGATCTATTTCTAAGAAGTTTCTCAATTAATTGCACTTAGTTTAAGCGTGCAAGAAAGTAAATTACCCCCCCCCCCCCACCAGCAGCTTCAGTGGGCATGACAGACATTTAAGATGCTTAAACTAAATGCAATTTGGCGAGAATCCCCTCAGAGTTAGATCGATCCTGCTAGTATGATAAGTTTATGGGAACCCAGTCTAAGTCAAGCAACATTCCAGTAGTACACATGGATTAAGTTAATCTAATGCAGTTTAGTTCACTAAAATCAGTACCAGGGGTAAAAAGGAAAACGAAAACTCACCTTCAAGTCATCTACATCTCTCCTTAAAACAAGAGCATCAAACCTGTCAATGTCCTTGGGAGCTATCAAACCCCTCACTTCTGACATCAGAGAAAACTATAGTAATAAACAAATAAAAAAATGACAACCCATGATGATATTTGTTAAGCTGACTAATCAATTAAATAATGCATTTTTGTAGCCAATCTAAATTTCTTTTGATAAGGCTTTTGATAAAAAGATATTCACACTGAGAACAGACAATACATTAGAAATGCTTACAATAAACTATTTTATTGTGTAATTGTGATAAACAGAGATTTAATGGCTAACTTGACTAACTAATGGCTAAATTAGATACCAGTCAATGTAAACTTCAAAATCTGACCATCTTCCGGAAGACCCAGAAGACATCCATTAATGCTAGACCTCACAGATCATCCTAGTATCTTATGTTCTATGGACCATTAAAAAAAAATAAATAAATAATAATAATAATGCCCAACTTGCCTTGGCCTGTGTATTGAGCAATTCAAAAAGAGCCAAAGCCAGGGCCTCCACACCAATATGGCCCGTGTTGTATTCATTAAGATAATAGTTCATGGTGCCACGTTCATTGTCGTTTAGCAGTTGCCGTGCTTGTTCTTCTATCATCCCCCGCTGGGCACTATGCATAGTGTTATTCAAGATGAGCTGAGACCCTGCCATACGCGTAAAAACAGACTGGAAAAGGTTGAAGAGACATGGGTGTGATTTATTTGAGACAGGTCAGTATGTAAGACCAAGCTCAGACTGACTTTAACAAAATGACTGAAATAGTAAACTGTTTCTGAAGACAATGTCTTTTCATAGTCATTACACAAAAACAATGTATATAATTGTCATTACAAAAATAAATAAATACTAAATTATTATTATTATAATAATAAAAATATATCACCTTTAAGTTATTAATTTTTATTAACACTGTATACTAAAACTATATTATTGAACTGCACCTCTTGTTTGCTGTCAACTTGGTCTTCCTGAGGAGTTTTTACACGCAAGGAGTTAAAGCCATTGGATAAGGCACTGAAATATTACATATTAAGAAAATCTTCAGGAGCTTCAAAAAGTACAAAACTGACCCAGAACTCACTTTCTAATTTTACTAAACTTTTCAGGCAATTTATCAGAAATGTTTATAATATACTGCTGTATTGTGCAATTTTCAACATAAATTTAATGGCTCACTTGCATCTGTGCTAGGATAGAAGATAAATCTTTTAGGTCCTGAATCTGTGTTTTCACAAAATAATAAGATCAAGGAATATTGGCAACAGGCATTTTCCAAATAATATGGTGAGAGACTATGATAAATACACAGCTTTAAAACAATCTGTACCTGCTGGGTCTGGAAGGACTCCGTGATTGCTGCAGCTCCCTTCCCACAATCCATTTCGTCTCATCAATGGTGGTTCTAGCATACGGCAGACGTCCCACATCCTTTACAGTCATGATCATGTGCTTTGAAGCCTTCAGGACTTTCACTGCATTAGCATGAGATATATCCAGGAAACTTTCTCCATTTACATCCAAAATTTGGTCTCCAACCTGTAATGCAAAGACAATTTTAATTTAATTTTAATTTTAATTTTTTTAAAGTAAAATGGGAAGTGTAGATCTATGATAAAAAAAAATCTACAACTGAAAATCAGTTATAAACTATACAAGTTAGTTACAATATTTCATTTGAACATCAAGCCCTCCTCTGAGGTGGATAAAGAAGATAATCAATACCAGAAAAGATTTTGTATTGTGAAACAGGGTTGTTCCTAATGAGAAACCGTATTATAATTAATCTTTTATTATAAATGGTAGGCATTTTCCCTCATACAGAAGTGAAAAGTAAAATGTTGTACGTAACACAAAAAGAAAGTGTGTGCAGAACTTTCTCCTCCTGGCCCATTTAACTACTAGTATATATTTTTTGTAAAACTTTCTGTTTTCCACTCACCTTGAGTCCAGCATTTTCAGCCACAGACAAAGGGTCCACTCCAGTAAGATATATTCCCAGCCCAAACTCACTCCCTCCACGTATCATAAGCCCTAAGCTCTGTCCTGATCCAACAACTACGTTCACCTGCAAAATGTGATACCAACACTTTAAGAAAGTTTATAAAAAATAACGAAAACAAAAGCATCATTTTATGGCAGAGAAGATGAAACATTAAAAAGTTTACTTTCTCAACAAAAATACACAAAATATAACAATTCTACATTCAGAAAACTTGCATGCCATAATATTAGAGAAGATTTCCACTGGATGTCACCACTAAATATTAATTTACTAAGCAAGTTACACTTGAAGACATATTGCAATATAGCATGGGCGTAACTAGGCATACGCACGGATGCACTGTGCGTACAATTTTTTTTGGCCAACCATGATATTATTTTATATAAATTTAGTGTATTTTTCACGGAATATATATCAAAAATCCTCTGCGAATTAAAGTCACCTGTATGTACAAATCCTCTGTATACGCACAATTGTTCTGACCCCCCGTCTTGCATACTTTTATTCAACTGAGGTAAACAATGCCTGTTACCTGTACAAGTCCTATCTTAATCGTCCATCTAACTGGAACATCCTTTACCTCTTAATTGGAGGGTTAAGTGGCCTTCAACTCTCCTGTAGTCATGAGAGTAACGAACGCACTCTCGCTGGTGATATTTATCTCAGGTAAAATCTACCTGTGTGTTACTTTCAAAGAGCAGCTCCCGTAGACCTGGGGGCACTAGCTAAAATCTGGACACCAGGTTTAATAAGGAGCTAGAGAAACAAAGGAAGAATTTTTCCTGCAAAGATTCAAAGAATTTCACACGGACTTGATCCAGCTTAGCCCTCCAAACTAATAGGGTGACATGGGCAATTTCCACAAACAAATAAGTAAACTTAGATGTATCAGAGCTCTATTGTGTCATATAATTGGTTGTTTTTGGGAGCCATGCACCCGCATGAAAGCTGGATGAAACCATATGCAAGTTCAACTCAGAGGAGGATCCAGCATTATTCGAAGAGGGGAGGGGGGTCTGCTGATGCGAAGTTAGTCTCCTTTTAAATGAATATACCGTTCTGGGTAAATAAAAATATTGAAACTTTATTAAATCGCGAGAATATTTTTGACTTAAATGATTATTTTATTATTAATGGAAATTAAGCTACGATGTGTGGTACATATGCTGTGATTACGCTGTCCTTCANCGAAGAGGGGAGGGGGGGGGTCTGCTGATGCGAAGTTAGTCTCCTTTTAAATGAATATACCATTCTGGGTAAATAAAAATATTGAAACTTTATTAAATCGCGAGAATATTTTTGACTTAAATGATTATTTTATTATTAATGGAAATTAAGCTACGATGTGTGGTACATATGCTGTGATTACGCTGTCCTTCATCTGTTGCGTTAGTCTACATTTTGCTGTACATGCTGGGTATTTTAAAAATCTGTGCGTACAATTTTTAAAGGTCTGGTTCCGCCCCTGAAAGGAAAAGGTTCACGGTACACTTTCATTCTCACTTCAAATTATACCTACTGTAAATGTCCAAACAAGTCCTCACTATACACAAGTAAATGGATTTATTGAACGAGCAGTTCAAACTGTGAAAAATGTGCTGATTAAATGCAAGGAGTCGAAAACCGATCATTATATGGCCATGTTATGCCTCAGAAGCACACCATTAGATCACAACATGCCATCACCAGCAGAACTTCTTAATTCTTGCCTATGACACCAATCTTCCTGCCATCAATTCCCAAAATTCACATCCTTCTTTTGATGGTGAGATAAATGCATACATGCAGAGAAAACAGGATAAAGAAAAGAACAGATATGATCAGTTGGCCAAAATTTTATCTGATCTACTTCCTGGTCAGCTTGTCAGAATACGACATCCCCAGAGTCACAAATGGGAACCAGCATTTGTGGATTCTACTAGGTCAAACAGATCTTATGTTGTAAAAACTAACAATGGCGATCAGTATGTACGTAACTGTATACACATCCGTCCAACAGGAGAGAAATTTAAATCTGACTTTGAAAACACTCATTTGCAAAGTGATTTGCCAACTGCTGATTCAGAGTCAAGCCCTGAGAATCCAGTAGCATCCCAGAACAATTAAACAAAACATGTGCAAAACATTGTTCCAGAAACACCAGTTTCCTTACGACAATCTACAAGAGTGACCAAAGCACCTGACAGGATGAACTTACTAGTAATATACTCAACTTGTAAGAAACTTAAGGAATTCAACAAAGGCAGTTTTAATCCTTGATTTTAACACTGACTTTTTAGCTAAAGAAAGAAGGGGATGTTATGGTTTGTAGTGACTAAAAGTTGAAGTATTCAGTTACTATGGATACAGACAAACATTATGGTTCAAGTATCTGGTGTCCTCAAGTCACTGACATCTACTATTCTTTAAGTGGTCTTGTAACATAAACAAGCCTGACAGCAGAGACCATTAAGGTCACCTCCCAGGAACAACACATTGTATCTACCTCAACACACACAGAAATAAAATCAGTTTTTGTAGTTTCCATTCTTCTTGAGAGTTGTCTATATGATTCGCCTCATGATATTAATTAATGTTCATTTAAAAAGAACCCTTCAAGCTTGAAACTATTTCAGCTGTCATTTCTCACTGACCAAGATCGGACTCTGAGTGTGGCATGTACAGCATATACACGTGTAACTGCAATAATGATTATGCTTACTAATTTATTTCAGAAGCAGAGACATTGGTTAAAGTCCCCACACAAATTTAATTATAAAAGACATTGAATATCAGAGTTATTTGGTGTAGTAATACTGCCTAAATGCCAAAAAAGTACCTGCTATATAATTTACTTGAGCATGTACATGACTGGTTGAATGCATTGAGCTGAGATTTAATTACTGTGCCCCTGCAGGGACTTATATGTGGGGAGGTGTGTGAGAGGCGGAGATACCATTACAGGATTAAGCGGTGTTCCTTTCATTTAGGTCCGCCATATTTAGGTCGTGGCCTAGCTAGCACTCAGCTCTTCTCATTCTGAATGGTCCCAAAGGCCTCTCTATAAACTGATAAAAAGATGCAAATGTCATAATTGCAAAGTTCGTAAGTAAACTACTAGTAGTGTTATAGATTTTTTACAGAGTAGAGAAAGTTTTTCGTTATTGTTGCTTCAGCTGTTATTTAAGATATTTTTCTTCTCTTTGTTTCAGACTAAAGAGTAACATACATGTTTTTTTGTCCATGGACAGCAGGAAATTAGTCCGCCTAGTAATTGTTTATGCTATTTTCAAAGTTTGCTTGAAAATTTTGCTGAACAAGGTAAACTGTCTTTTGTCCTTTCAAAAATGTTTTGAATATTTATATCATAGGCACAAGATAAAGGTCATGTTTATGTAGTGTTACTAAAAGAGAACAGCACAGTTTTTGATTGTTGTAACAAAGAAATAAAGATAGATTTTACAGACACCTGTAATGGGTGGAATGATTGAATTAAAGTTACTTGATGTAAGTGAAAAGTGAGTACATTGTTATATGCAATGAACTTTAGCAGTTGTTAAAAAATGTACTGTTTAGCATTGTGGTCATGCTTGAGCATTCTGTTTTTAATCACAAAATGCAGTTTATATCTTATAGAAGTTATTAATTCACTATTTTCATTTTTTTCTGGAGTCACCATAGTGAAATTGAATTATAGTGGATGATGTTATTTGGAAATATTAAAATGTAAAGAATTAGAATATTTAAACACTTACATCAAGTTACAATGACAATCATAACATTTAATTTTATGTAGAAATTGTCATTGATACTGTAATGTAACATCTGCAGTTGTTATTATTATTATTTTCTTCTGTTTTGTTTTCTTTAGACAACAGAGTAACATATATGTTTGTTGCACAAGCCCTTCTTAATGAAGACAGCAGGAAATTAGTCCGCCTAGTAATTGTTTATGCTCTTTTCAAAGTTTGCTGGAGAATTTCACTTATAAGGTAAAACGAGTTTTGGCCTTTCAAAAAATGTTTTGAATTTTTCAGTGATGGGAATTTGATGTATGCTGTTAACATGGAAAAATTAATGCTGTGTCTTTCTGAAAAAAAAGTGGAGCAAATTTTCAAAATGATCTTTGCAATGCCTGTAAATGTTAGCATTGATCTCATTTTGTTTTGTTTGGGTTCAAATGTGGCATTAGGAATTATGCAATTGCTAGTAAGTTCCAGTCTTACAGGGGGAGGCAAAAGAAAATGTTTCGATTTCCAAACATACTTTTATACGATCAAAAATAACAAATGACCTATTTTAATTTTAGCATATTGTTGTTTCTAACTTATTCCCACTAGAGAAAGTGTTGCGCTTTAACACCAGATGTTTCTCTTTTGTTACAAAAATACATTTTTGTTGCTCAATTCCAGCAAGTTTATGCAGACTACCCATCCAGTTACATATTGAACGTCTAAGAATAAACAAGGGAGGTAATATAATCTTTCTGCTTGTTTGCATTATACAGTTTTAAAAATATTAACAGTAATTTTAAGCATGTTTATAGTTATGTTTTGTTTTTCAAGAAAGGTAAACTCTAGCAATATTCAAATGCTGTTGATGTCTTACAGCCCAAGAATATATTTGGGTAATATCCAACTAGATGTGGTGATATATTTTTTTTACAGGTGAGAGAACCAGAAAATTAGATTGCCTAGTAACTAAATTTTATGGTAAGCACATTGGAGGAAGGTTGAAATAAAAAAATTGAATTGCTTATTAAGGATTTAAAATTGGAAGTGTCCTAAATTTTAATTTTACACATATACTTAGCTAGCCTTAAAGCTTGATTTGAATGGATCTGAAGTAATGAAAAAGAGTTTATAGGATTTTAATTGACCATTTCCAGATGTCTGGAAGAGCTAGAGGACGTGCACGTGGAAGTGCTCGAAAAACTAATCTGGAGGTGTCTGGGCCATTGAGAAGACCAGGGGATGCTGGGCAACAAGCGCAGGTCTGTGGATGTCCCCAGTGATGTTGATTTGGTCTGCAAATTTATCTGATTTTATTTGTCCTTCATATGTCAGATCTTTCAATCAATACTAAAATGATACATTGGTGACCTAAATAATTTTATTGTGTGTGTGATGATGTGGCAGTGATGCTTCTGTGTGAAACTTAAAAAAGTTATACATTCTAATCTTGGTAAGAATGGTGCAGAAAAGTATTTTCTGATTCATCAGTAAAAATGACTTGTGTTAGTTGAAGACAAGGGTGATCTGTGCTAATTCTTTGTGAACATAAAAAAAGGAATAAGAATACACAATAAATAACAAAACTTTTTTCAGGGGCCTCAGTTGCAGACCTCCCCAGAAAACCCTGTTGTTCCAAGTGGTAGAGCAAGATTTCGGCAGGGTGCAGGAAGGGGGACTCCCACCCCAGGGTCAGCAGCCCCAGGGAGTGGAGACACTTGGTCTCAGAGGCCTTCCTCTGGCTATGGAAGGGGAGGGCAGCCTGGTCCAGAAACTGGCTATGGAAGGGGAGCACAGCATGGTCCAGAAACTGGCTACAGAAGGGGAGCACAGCCTGGTCCAGGGAGTCGAGGAGCATTGGTGCCAAGCTGGTCCAATGTAGCTGGGGGTGCCAGACCAAAAACTGGCTTTACTCGCTGTAAGTTAAGATTTTATCTAATGTAGATGTTTCAATTTTTACTGAACAACCAGTAAGTTCTTGCAATGAACATATAGACATTATGTAATTTTTGTGTACTGTTAAGTATGACATGGTTGCCTTTCACAGAATTTGAGAGAGGTTCACTTTTCTCTAAAAGGCAACTTTGCTTAAAAATAAGTAATTACAATCTTGGTAGTAAATTCTTGCTTTGGATAAAATATTGGTACACAAGACTATTTAGATTTAATGAAGATATGCAATATTGCCTGCAGATCAGTTTGTTTGTGAACAGGCCATTAGAAAATATTCCTTCTCTTCTTCAGGATTAAATGTTTATATACAAATTCAAGTTGGAAGTAGTGTGATTGAATAAGTAAAAATTGTTAAGCCTCAAATATAAAATTGGTTTTAAAAAGATGGTGTATTGACCACTGTTTCCAGTTAAATGATCTTGTTTTGCAGCTGCTAATGGAGGTCATCAAGCAGGCGGAGGAGAGAGAACTCTCACTCTCCTCACCAACTATTTCAAGATTACAAATCACCAAGAACAGCATGTCTATCTTTACCATATGAGCTTTGAACCGGAAATAGATGAAAACCGTCGTCTTATGTACGGACTTTTGTCCAACCTTCGGGAGTCTGTTCTGAGGGATGTGCCTTATGAAGCATTGGGGAACACCTTGCTGACTATGAGAGAGTTGGGGGAACAGAAGGTAAAATGGCTGTTTGATAAAACACACTACCTACATTAATGAATATATTATTGAAGTTTTGAAAAAATGTCATTTGTGTGAAGTGCTTGCTTCGAAACCAGAAATGCATGTCTGTTTGTCTTCCAGCACTTCATTTGTTTTACTGGTCTGTAACTGTCACAGTTATTGTTAAAGAAATAAGTGGGCATCAAATTGGTGCAGTCAGATTTTTTTATGTAATACATGTATAATAATGATATTTATGTATTCATCATCATCATCATCATCTTTCAGAGCCTTAAGTGTTCCACTATTGGAGAAAGGCCTCAGCATGCTTCTTCCAGTGTATTCTGTCTTGGGCTTCACTCATCCAGTTTGGACCATTCTGTCAGCCTTACTCTCCATCTGTCATCTTTAATTCTATTGACATGTCCTGCCCATCACTATTTCATTTCTTGAATTGTAACCAGCACATATTTAACCTTGGTCTGTTATCTAAATTTATCCACTTAACTGTCTTCCAATCTCTTACCCTGATGTTCAGCATCTTCCAATCTTTCTCTGTGCTTCTTGTAGCTTTTGCCACATGGGTGCATTCATTGTCCATGTCTCTGAACCATAGGTGACAGGTGGCAGTACACATGCATTGAACATGTACAGGTGTAACAAAATAGTCAAATTGGTATCATTCATTTTTGATCATGTAGGAGCCTCATGTGGTGGAGTCCCGTCAAGGTGAACGGTACATGATCAGGTTTAAACTGGGCAAAGAAATCCACCGTGAGGACTATGAGTACACCTACCTGTACAGCCTAATTATCAGAAGGTACAGTAAAGTCTGTATCTTGGAACATTGATATTCAGGCCTTGCTTTAAATAATTCTTATGTTGGAGATATATGTGAGGAACAAATTGTTGAATTGAATTGAGATATTGAAAAATTATGCAAGTGAGTTAATAGCAATGGTTTATTTGTGCTTTAAATTTAATGTAATGACTGGTATGTTTTTTGATATAATTAAAAATGTCAATCCTAATTTTATTACCCAAAGATCACTTGAAATGATGGATCTTCTGAAGCTACAGAGAGATGCCTTCTACAATCTCAATGAAACAAAGTATGTCCCAGATCTTCAGGGGTGAGTTTTTTATTCCTTTTTTTTTCTTTTTGAAAAAATCAAGAATTTTGTGTTTTTCTGCTTCTCGGGTGCATAATCAAAGAATTAATTGATTGCTCATTAAATTTACTGCATTACCTGCATTAATAGGTCAGCATATTTAAAGTTAAAGAAATCTTAAAAAGACAATTTGTAAAACAATATCTTTGACTTAAAACTATTAACAATGATATTGATGCGTGGATTATTTCAGCATTATCTTGAAGTTATCCCCTGGCTATCTGGTCTCCACTATGGCGTGTGAAATGGGTGTGGCTCTCAATGTACAGCTGCACTACAAAGTGCTGCGTGAAGACACTGTACTAGATGTGATAGCGCGATACTTACCAACAGGCACCAGAGAAGGAGACAAGAATAAAGTGGAGGAGCTGGTCAGAAATAAGATTGTCATGATGAAGTAAGAAATAATTGAAAAATTCACATCATGGGAATCATATGTTGGTTAGTGTGTGTGTGTGTGTGTGTGTGTGTGTGTGTGTGTGTGTGTTATAATTTTTTTCTGCTGCTTTTTTGTTGCTAACAACAATTTTAGGGAAACGGGTAATTATTTCAGTCTTGATGATGACTCGTTAAGTCATCATCAAGACTGAGGTAATTACCTGTTTACTTGTACCTGAACAGGTAATTCAGTTGTGACCAAGTCTGTCAAAATAAACAGATGAAACAGTCAACAAGTAAATCAAATATCTGGATCTAACATAAATGAAATCTTTTTACATATCATGTATATATTTATGGTTGTTACATACATATACATCGTGTAAAACATTCTGCTTCTGAAAGATAAATTCAGTGGTATTTATTGGATATTTTCAGCTATGGCAAGCACAGAACCTACACAGTGCTGGATGTTTGCTATGACCCGCCACTGTACCAACGTACATTTCAAACTAAATCGGGAGAAGTGAGCTTTTTAGATTATTACAAAAAGGTAAAGATAACCAATGGAAATCAACAGATATTCATCAATTTAATATCCGAATGCATTTAATTGAGTACTGTTACTGACTTCTCGTAATTTTCCTTTGGTTGAAAGTGACATACATGTCAACCAGCTTTCCATTATAGCATTCTTGTGAATTGATGTCAGTCAGGAGTTTTTGAAATCAATGTTTTTGAACATTGTCTTGCAATTCTTAAAACTGTGATATTTGTTTAGGCTTATGACATAGACATCAAGGACGGGATGCAGCCTTTGCTTCGGGTGAAAGTTAAGAAGAATGAAAAACCAGCCCTTCTGGTTCCAGAGCTGTGTTCTTTAACCGGTAGATTTTTGTTTGATAAAGCAGTGAAAGTGTTTTAATTACCTCCACTAAAGAGGTAATATTTTCACTCCTGTTTATCTGTCCATGTGTCTCTAGCCTATACTACTGTCACTCAACAAGTCATGGATGAATTTTGATGAAATTTTCAGGATAGGTAAAAATGGCTTAAGTTAATAGTGATTATATTTTGGTCATGGTTCTTTAATTTTTTAATGATGAATTATTAATTGATTGTTTGCCTTGACAGGGACCTGGAATGCTTTTCTAGTTTCAAGTGGATTCATTTCATTTGGATATAAGTGGAGAACTTCGTCAACATATTACAAATAGCATATAGATTAAAGGTAGTTAAGGTAAACGGTTTTTGTTATTAGGTATCCCAGCAGATGTCCGTTCAAACTTCTATCAGATGCGTGTGCTCACTAATGCACAGAAGATGACTCCCCGGGAACAAGTGGGCAGGTTGAGCAACTTTATACAGGCTTTCAGAGGGTAAGGGAATTATTTGAAGAACATGGTGTATTTAGTTGAAGTGACATATACGTACCTGTACACACTAATTTAGTTATCCTTATGAGATTAACATATATTGCTTCTTGTTTATTTTAGCAGTATATTTTAAGAAAAATAGTTATCTTGAGACCAAACAAACAAACCACTCTTCTATGTATTTCAGAAATGAGCAAGCAGTACAGCCTCTGAAGAGATGGGGCATTGAGGTGGCAGAAAACCTGCTGGCAGTCCAGGCCCACAACCTGAACCCAGAGAGGATCATCTTTGCCAGAGACTGCTTCAACTATAAGCCTTACCAAGCTAAGTGGCAGGAGGCTGTACACGGTGGCAACACTCTGTTGGAGTGTGTACCACTACACAGTTGGCTGGTGGTGTACCCAGAGGGACGAGGGAGGCCCATACCCTGTAAGGAGGCAGCACAGAACTTTGTCAGTGAACTCAAGCAGGTGGCGCCAGCTATGGGGATGAAAGTTGAGTGGCCAAGTGCAGTGTAAGTTGTCTCTTTTTATTAGTTTCTTTTTTTTTTTTTTTTTAAACTTTATTGTAGAGATCTACCCATTCACAAAATTGTCTCTCTCTCTCTCCCCTTCTCTCTCTCTCTCATAACATATGCAAATAGTTATAGTTATTTCTTTTTTATGCAGGTCAATTCAAAGAGATTATCCAGAAGACTACATAAGGGCAATTCGTGAAAGGCTTGGCCAGGCACAGATGGTGGCATGTGTCCTTCCTCAAGATAGGGACAAATACAGAATGCAGATACGCTATGGGGAAATAAAAAAGGAATGTATTAACCAGCTTGGAGGTGAGATACTACACTTGGCATCTTACTGTAAATTAATTCTTATTCAATTTTCTTTAGCAATGAATTGAGCAGAAGACAAAAGGTTGTGCCATGCTCTACTCCCTTCAGAGATATCGAGCAAGAATGTGAAATAGAGCACAGCATGGCCTATTGTTATTTGCCCTGAAGTGTTGTTAAAGTTGGGTAATTCAGTCACTCATCATGAAGCTCCATGGATAAAAAAGAGGACATTATTGTCTCAGCCTCATTTGGCCAACTATTTCTTCATTTTGATATCAAGCTTTACTTCATGTATTGCATAGATGTATAGAGAAATTGAGATGACCACCGTTACTGCCTGTGAATTAATATTTCAGAAGAATGTTTATGTAAGTAAGAATGTACAACTCTATGAAACTGAATAATCCTTTCTTTCTTGTACAGGTGAAGATTTTAAATACTATTTTTTTTATTCCAGTCCCTAGTCAACTGATGTTGAATGCAACTCTTAACAAGAGCAGTAACAAGTTCAAGAGCTGTGTGACTAACATTGCCATGCAGATGAATGTGAAACTTGGAGGTCAGCTGTGGAGGGTGGCTTTTCCTGTAAGTAACAGCGCCCTCTTTCTGTAAGCAATGTTACCCATAAGTTGTGTTGATGTTATTAGGTGCCACCTGTATCAGCAGACCTTCTGAATAGGTTTAGCAAATCACTTTAAAAGTATATTTATAAGTATATAAATAATATTTTAGGAAGTGCTTAAGAAGGCAATGGTCATTGGTATAGATGTCTACCATCCAGGGAGGGAGAAGTGTGCCTCGCCCAATGCTAAGTCTGTTGGCGCTGTCACATGCTCTCTTAATGCCAACTTCACTCGCTATTTCTCTGCATCAGTGGATCAGCTGCACAGAGGAACAGAGTTGTTTGACACCCTGCAGCCTATTGTTGAACGTATGTATATTTTGATATCTAACATGTTCAGAGAAACATGCACTGTATGGCTTTTCATTTGTACAGTGCATGTAAGTTTTTCTTATTTTTTCTTTTTTTTTTTTACATAATTTCTAATAATTTCTGTTAGTTTGTAATGTCACACATTTACAGTGCTTGGTTATTTATTATTTCTACTTTCAGGTGCATTGAAAGAATTCCTAATGGAGAATAAATTTCTGCCCGACCCTATCCTTATCTTCCGTGATGGAGTTGGTGATGGCCAGATTCAAATAGTCAAAGACCATGAACTACCTCAGATAAAAGCAGCTATCAGAACAGCTGCTAACTACTCCCCAGTAGAGTACAGGTACACCTTGCTGGGATTTCTACCCACACCTGTATTGATTGATAGAGTACGAAAAGCTGAAAAAGCATGCATTTAAAGTGGTGATAGCTAAACAATATTTGCTTATAAATCAGCGTGTTTATTAGCTTGGTATTGGATCATAAATGATAATTATTTAACATAAACTGAAATTTTTTTTCACCGTTAGCTTACAGGCATCTCTGTCGGAGGCCCTCTTTCGACTGATGTGAATAGATATTGTTACTCACTGGCTGCTAGGCGATATAGAAGTCAAGACCCTATAATAAATCTCAGCTAACGGTAAAAAAAACAGCTTGTGATAAATAATCATCATTTATGATATACCTAAATTTTCAGTTGTTTGCAAACTGATAGTGGTTCATGTAATGACAATAGCCTTCACTTAAAAAGTTGCAGTTACCCCTTTAGTACCACCAAGATAATCATCAACATCTTATGAACATCCTTTGTGATCAATACTTTCAGACCTGCCATAGCTGAAGTGATTGTTCAGAAGAGAATTTGTAGCAGATTTTACACAGTTCAGACCCGAGAGAACCCACCCCCAGGGACAGTGGTGGACAGTGGGATGACCAGACCAGTGGACCAGATAGACAATACGTACGTACAGCATCATCTGCTTCAAACTTCTTGCCATGTGTAGTAAAAATACAGAGTGTGTGCATAAATATGCTTGGTTGCAGTATTTTTTAATGGTTACTCTTTTCTCATGAGTTTTAGTTTAGAACTCAAATTTTAATGCTATATTTGTCTATTTTTATTTCATGGTTTAGCTATGATTTCTACCTTGTGAGTCAGTCCAGAAGAGACGTGACAGTGTCCCCCACCCACTACTATGTCATCTATGACACCACGGGGATGACACCAAGGCAGATGCAGGGGGTCACCTACAAGCTCACTCACCTGTATTACAACCTGACAGTGAGTTCTTGCTTTATTACTATACCCATCACTGTTATCACATAGTATCTTACAATACATCATTACTGTAACAAGAAAGCATTCAACTTTTTACAAAGTATAATACAAAAGACCTTGATTGTATTGTCACTACTCATGTTAGAAGCAATATTGGTTGCATATATCCCAAGCACAGATACCATTTACCTTAAATAAAAAAAAATCATTGGAAGTTGTTTCAATTATCCACAGGGCACAGTCAGTGTTCCTAGCCCCTGCTACTACGCACATAAGCTGGCTTTCCTGTATGGTGAATACAACATTGAGACAAAGGCCCCCAAACTTGAGCTGCAGAAAACCTTGTATTATCTGTAAGCAGACCAACCTCTACCAGGGCCACAGAGATTTTATTAACCAGGTTTTCACTGATGTTTTTTTTTTTTTTTTGCTATTATTATTATTATTAATTCTGTACACGTTTCTGTGCTCCCAACTATTTTTACACAGAATTTCAAAAGTAGTGTTAACATCTAGCTCTGGCCTTTGACAGTATAAACAGAGACGCAAACAGAAAGAAACAGAAACCTGGATTTTGGTTCTGAACAGACCTTAAGACCTTAAAGGACAAACTTGGCAAACAGCATTATCTGTTAGAGGTACAAAAATGAATTTGTTACTGTAAAAAATAGATATCACATATTACCAGTTCTTAAAGAGTATTACCAGTTTTTAATCTAATTTATTCTGCTGTTAACATACTTCATATGATACTTATGCAGCTATTGCTAGGCTAGTATTTATGAATATTGGCATTGATGGGCAAACTATTACCAAGATAAGGTGGTCTGTCTAATGTGTTGCCTTTTATTTTAGTCCAGTATGAATATTATAACTGACTTATATTTTCATATATTGTTTTTGCCAGTTGCCAGGGCATTTGAGGCATTTGTTATGACTGTGTTTGTCACTCCAGATAATAATTTGAAAATTGGATGTTAGATTTTTATGTTAGACAGAGATGCAATTATTGAATATTTTCTATTTCTTACTCATTATGCTAGCTGGTGTAACATTCTTTAGGTTTCAGTCTTTAACTTTGATTCACTTAACACTTTTTTTCGAATATTTAGTCTTACTTTTAGTTTTTACTTTGTGTGGTTCAGGAGAAAATAAAAGTGCCCATTGTGCTTATGCTGAAGTTTTTTTTTAAATACTAAGAAAAAAAACATCGCCCTTTTTCCTTCGCGATTTGGAAATACAGTAATTGGTATCCGAACCACCTGGCATTCTTGATACTCATCGCTTTCCATCCATTCAAAACAATCCATTCCAGAATTTCCTAATGAAGAAGTGACTTTATTAAAACTTTAAACTTTTTTGCATTAAATCAGATTGCATGACGGCAGATCGGTTCATTGATATGATATTTTCAACAAAAAAGTAAATTAATTTGTTCTGTTGAACCTTTAAAATGAAATTGGGAGGGGAAAACGCTGTTTAAGTTGATTTTCAAAGCAAAATATATACTCGGATGCGTTTGACTTGCGCATTATCAATAAATCGTCTATTTCTCACCAAATTTTTGATACAGCCTTGGAATTTCCACATTAACAACCACATGCTTTTGACGTTCGAATTTTGTTTTAGCTCAAAATCCCATCGGGCTTTACATATACGAGACCATTAATGATATAACCGAAGAAAATACTATTCATTTGCCATCCCAATCAAACCGTCAATGTAGGTTCGAGTACATCTGGGGGTTAACAGGAACGAAATGCAACAAATTTTGATGTTCAGCAAAGCTTTATTTCAAAACGTGTTTATATAATAAAAATGAATGTAGAAATAACCGTGATTGGATAGCAAAAACGAGGGGATGACATGAGGGTGAATTTAAGGCTGTATTCCCAGAGCTTTTAGATCGATCTATCCCCGCGGGGAGTCTCACTAGATTACTGTCAGATAATCCGGCTTAAATGTCCGTTCCGCCTACTACAAGCTGTAAGGGGGTAATTAACTTTCGTGTCCGCTTGGCTGACAGCTATTTAGCGTGAACCCCCAGGGAGTTAGGTCGATCTAAAGTAGATCGATCTGAATTTTTTTTCACCAAAATTAAACCTTGTAATTCGTCTGAATTTCCAATATAATTTTTGGTGTCCTCTTTGAAAATAATAAGTTTAATTTTATTTGGTAGATTTCAATAGAAGACAGCTTTGATGTGCCTATTTTGGCAACGTACATATTTTAGCAGGACTCGTGTAAAACAGAAATGGAAATTGGTTGCGCTTGTCTAACCTAATATTTTGTCTTCCTAACCTAAAGTAATCTCAAACCTTTCATCCGAATTGATATCACTGGCAAGTAAAACTTGACTGATGGAATGGTTCTTAATACAGAGTGTTTGATGTGTTTATAAACTTGTGTCATGAAAGGTATTCTCTAATTCTCTACATGTCCGCCTTAAAAATTTCCCAGTCGTATTTTCTATACTTCTATTATGCAAAACTACTAGTCATTCCCAATTCAGATTTAATACTCCTCATATAGAAGTACCTTGCGCCGATACATACTTGTGAAATATACAGGAAGAAATGGGTTTCTAATTGACTAGTCAGGCTCTTTAAAACTGAATCATATCATTAAATTTAAACTGGAATTAAAATCGAATCCAAGTGCTGAACAACGGGTCAAACAATGATTCGTGAGTTGGAAAAATTGATTTTTGCCAGAGGAAAATTCATTTTGGCGGGTAAATTCCTCCTAGAGTACCTTTAACTTAATTGTGCATGACAATACACCAAGTGGGCATTTTATTCAGAACCAAGGCATTAGAGGGTAAACGACCTGGTGATACATCTATATCCAACGTTTTCATACATCAAGAATCCGCGGCACATGGATTATTCTATTTATCTTCTCTTCACCTTTCACTATGGAATTATATGGTCGATCCTAAGTGAGCAATTAGGGGTGTATTTTTAGTCGTGGCACCCTATAAATAAACCAAAAAAGACCCGCTTTCAGCATGGATCGGTAATCAACAGAAGCTTTGAACGGGTATACAAAATTTGGTTTAACACATTAGTTGTTTCCGTTTTAATGCGTTTACAAAGAGAGAATTCATATCAGTCCCTCACCAGAACTCATTTATTTCGATTCATTCAAAACGGGTACCCAGGTGTATTCCATTTTAATTTCCCCTAAAAAGGGATGGTGTATCGGTTAATCACTGATATCAAGATGCTTGGATTAGTGCGATAAACGGACTAAAAGGAAAAACAGGATAGATAGATAGAACTGATTATTTGCTTAGACAGAGACAGTCTAGCTATCAGTTAAAATAAATAGAAGATTAATTAAGGCCCATCGCGACCTGAATTCCCTCCCTTCGCGCATTTTGGAGGTTTTTTGTTTCTTGCGAAGCCCCATCTTTGAGCTTATACACATCTACTCTGAGGACATATACAATATATATGGGTTTGGGTTGAATAAATAATATTAAAAAATCAAATTAAATATCACAGAAAGCGATATGCAAAACAGGTC